CGGTGGGGCGGCGGCTCATTAGCTCCTCTGGCACAGCCCCTGGGCTTTCTGTACCGCTAGAAATATCGGCAGTCTTGAAGCAGTCTGAAGGCCTTGGTATCAGTGTCTATACTTGTTTGCTTTATTTTGTCACGCACGCGAGTGTATGGCACTAAGAAGCCCAACGGCATCGCTACTAGCAATACTAGCGTTAAGGCTATAGAAGCTAACATGGCAATCAGGCTGCCAGCCCCAGGGTAGGTATATTGGCCAGCCCCCCCCCCCATCCGAGGCGCCCAAACGAAGAAGTTTATTTTGAATCAGCTGCGCCAGATCTGGCTTTCCTGATCATATTCTCAAGAGCTAAAAATATTTGAATGTGTTTTTCGGTTCAATTATCTACAAATTTTGCCCAGTTTATTATTTGCATTATTTCAAAAACAGTTGGCGACATTTTTGACCCCAACAACCGCCAGCGGCGCGTGACCGAGCCCAAAAGGCGATGCACGCAAGATGCCTACGCAACTTTCTATACAACATGTGCTTTTCAAGGTCAAGGGCATTTCAGCTTGTTTGATTTTCAGATTGCGCTGGCGACGTAGGTAAGTGCCACAGCTTTGTTTGTCAATTTATTTTGGAAATGATCTGAACCTAGTAGATGAAAAACATGAAAGAAGCCAGAAGGTTATCATTACAATTAAGCATCAAAAGAGTGTTTCATTTTTCTCCTTAACAGCTACGTCTGCGTCGACTTTTGCAATTGCAACTTGATTTTATGCTGATGCTCGACTCTGGAGTGGATATAATCTCATGATCTGAAACGGACCTATGCAATTTCGAGTTTTTTAATATATAAACTACCATTGATCAGTCAGTATGGATTGGATTCAAATAAAAGTCACAGTTGCAGTGGCCTTGAGTTTCACCTCTGTTTCGTTGCTTCCATCCTCAGGACTCTGAAATCCTCCACGCCGCAACCCCCACGGCCCACTCAGGGCTGGACAGGCAACTTTATCTCATGTGGGCTGCTCCGAAGGGAGCACACCCGTAGCTGGATGGGTGCAGCGAGTGCTTGGGTTGGGGGCCTGGTCTGGCTGTCCTCTGGATGGGATCAGCTACAGCACCTCACTAGGGTGCCTGTCCAGACCTATGTCTCCCCTTAATTCCTATCATTCTTCCGGCTCTGAAGTGGACGGTGATCGCATCAGACTGAAAGGGCCTAACCCAACAAAACAATCAAATAAAGAGTCACATCTGTCCATCATTTCCATCCTCAGGACAATCAAATCCTTCTCCTCCATGCCGTAACCCTCGGTACAGGCTGAACAGGCAACGGGTGTGCTCCCTTGGCTTGGGAGCACACCCTAGCCTGTAGCCGGGTGTAGTGAGTACTTGGGGGGCTGGTCAGCCTGTCTTTTGGGACAGGCTCAGCCTGGGTGACTCACTAGGGTGCCTACCCAGACCAATGTCTCTGGTCTCCCCCCTAATTTGTATCACCCTTCCTTCTGGCTCTGAAATGGTCTCATCAGAAAGAAAGAGCCCTGCCTAACCCTGCAAAAACAAACAAAAAGAATGAATAGTCTGGAAATAGGGCCAGGTTAGGAGCAGCAGGCTGGCAGCCTGCTTGTAAAAGCAGTGGCCAAACTGAAAAGGGAAACATCAACAGGGCACATATTCACCAGTGATACTTTTAAATGCAGCCTTGGGCCTAACAAAATGCTGGTAGGTGGATAGTATTATGATACTGTCATTCTGGCCCCTGGGTTTAGTTTGGCCCTTTTGCCAGTTTCCAGCCAGACTAAACTAGGAAGGAACAACATGGGTCAAACATGAATCTCTGTGGGCACAAGCTCACTGCCAAGGCCCATGAAGTTAGGATGAATTCAAAGAGATACTTCATATTGATGATGTAAGGTGGCGCCAGTTCACAAAAGTCACCACCCAGTAAACATGCCGACGTCGGCCCGACGTCGGCAAACATCGGGGTGACGTCGGCATCTCGGCATCGGCATGCCGACGTCGGCCCGACCTCGGCACGACGTCGGCTGGATGTCGGGTACGCCCGCATGTACCGACGTCCAGCCGAGGTCCAGCCGACGTCGGACCGAGATCAATTGCTGAGGTCCAGCCGACGTAGGGGCGACGTCGGACCGACATCGGCCGCTGTTTTGACCGTTAAAATAATATAAAATGCATGTTTCATGTTTCATAAAGAGCTTATGTATCCAAAATATCCTCAGGGAAGTCAAATCTTCCTCCACGCCGCAACCCCCTGATCCGGACTGGACGGGAAACTTAATCCCATTTGGGATTGCCCGTAAGCCGAGCTCGCCCGTAGCCGGGTGCGGTGAGTGCTTGGGGGCTGCTCGGCCTATCCGTTGGTCAGGCTCAGCTCCGGCAACTCACCAGGGCCGGGCTCAGTTCATATAGAAAGGTCAGTCGGCATGTGTCACTCCACAAAGTGCCACTTATCAAAGGGACACTTTTGGAAACGTTGGTGCAGGTGTGTAAGGGTGGCTATATGAATCCATTTGTGCGGACGCCCTTTCCAATAAGTGTCACGTAACAGCAATGGGAGTCACCCAGGGTGCTCGCCAAGACCAATGTCTCCATCCTATCATCCTTCCGGCTCTGAAATGGTCTTGTCAGACCGAAAGGGCATAACCCAACAAAACAAACTGATTTCGCCATCTGGCTGCGTGGTGTAGTGGTTAGCGCACTAGCGTCGCGTTCAAATGACAAGGTTTCGAATCCCACCGCCGGTTGATATTTTTTGCGCGTTGTCCCAGTAAATATGTCGACGTCGGCCCCGTCGGTCCAACGACAAACGATCTCGTCAACCTCGGAAAACGACCTCGGCCCGACGTCGGCTCGACGTCGGCTGGACTTCGGCTGGACGTCGGTACATGCGGGCGTACCCGACGTCCAGCCGATGTCGGGCCGAGGTTGAACCGACTTAGGGCCGACGTCGGCCGACGTCGGCATGTTTACTGGGCAATATCTACCCTGCCCTGCCTTATGCCTTTCCAGTAGCTCGGTTGATAGAGCGGTCTACCAGACAACTCTCCATAGGCGTAATTCCTACCTTTGAGGGCACACACCCCGCGCGCAACACTCCACTTAAAATCTGCATCTCACCAGTTGATCTGCGCGTCCGCACCGTGCACCGGTGGATTGCTCTTGCACTGGCTGAATCTTGTTAGCAGTTTTTGTGTCCTGGTGGTGAGAGCTCCTGGTTTGAGTGTCAAAGTCTGTCAAGCAATTTAGGGACTAGTTTGTAACTGCTGTGTGTTCATGCTAATTGGCGCAATTATCGGCATTAGTAGAGGAGACGTCAAGACGTCGAAGGTTTTCCAACAGGGAGGCGCTGTAGGTTGGTAGGTTTTAGGGTAGGTTTGTTGGTTTTTAGGTTGTACGTTGTAGTTTTGTAAGTTGTATGTTGTAGTTTTGTAGGTTGTAGCCAGGTTTGTAGGTTGTAGGATTTGTAGGCTGTAGGTTAGGTTAGGTTTGTTTAGGTTTTGTTAGAAAGAAGCACCTCCGGTTATAGCGCCTCTCCTCGGTAGGAAACCTTCGTGTGACGTCTGCTCTACTATAATACCCAATTATCTAGGTTTCATTTGCATAGTGTGGTTTTGGCCAACTGCCCATGCAACTTTTATTGTTCAGTGTGGACATGACCTTCTCTGTTCGAGAATTCTGCTTAAAGGTAGTGTGCCAGCTTTCCTGGACCGTATGGAGTTAATGGCCCAGATAAGGAGAACCGGATTTTTAGAACTTATCCATACCTTCAAAACTCATGGAAACGTCTTAAATTCTTCAAATTTTGAGTACCCCAGTGCGAAATTCGCCCCGACGGGTTATCGGTCGTACCCCAACCACATTTCACACCACTATGAACAATAAATGCACACACTGAAATCGCTATTACCGATATGCTCATCCAATCAAGTTTCGATAAACCCGTTCATCATCATCTCCTGCGGTTTCGAACACGCCTGTTAGGTGGTGCGGTAGACCGCGCCCAAAGCCAGGGCCCCGGTAACGTGAGGTAGCCGAGTCGGGGCAGCGTGCGCTGACCCAAGCCGGGGCCGCGCGTCCTCCCGGTGTCATGTGATAGCCCGGGGCTGCCCGCGGGGATGCGGTAGACCGCGCCCAAAGCTGCGGCCCCGGCTTGGGTCAGCGCACGCTGCCCCGACTCGGCTACCTCACGTTACCGGGGCCCTGGCTTTGGGCGCGGCTTCTGCTCATACTTTGTGGTGCGGTGGTGGTGCGTCGGGCCGCGCGCTCTGACTTCGGCCAAGAAAAATGCGTCAGCTGATCATTGTCATTTCTGCCACTTGCGTATGGTGAAATGGGGTCATAACTTAAGAGACGGCTTTTTCATATCAATTATTTTACATAAAATCATATTTCAAACCATAAATAATGTTCGACAGCCAAATAAAAGAAACAATACCAATACAGGCTTACAGTTTAACCCCGCGTTCGATGTCTCTCGGACGACGAAGATTCTACGTCGTCCGACCAATCCCGTTCAAGGTCAGCGGGGGCTCGGCTGTGGTTATGGAACGTGATTGGCCGGACGGCGTAGAATCTTCGCCGTCCGAGAGACATCGAACGCGGAGTAAATTCGACATTGTGTTGTCTACGATTAGACAGCTGATAACTCATTCCCGTACGTCGTAACTCTATAATGACCTTTGCTTATTGTCACATGTGCGCCGCATTCGTGATTGTTGCCGACGCCTGTTTGCAGGTCAGCCCACTACAGTTGTTATACATATCGAAAAACCGATAAACTTTTAGGCGAAAAAGGCACTATTTTAGGCCCATTTTTGATTTTTTGCGATATTAGGTAAAAACAGAAGCTTCTTATCCTAGGAAAAATAAAATGGGAAATCATTCGAAGGTGGCACACTACCTTTAATTTTCAGAAACATAGGAACAGAATCATTACAAGCAGGTGTTCAGTTCATCAGACCATTGTCCGAGCGCATGCAGTTCTGCTCAAGACGGCCGGTCTTTGATTAGCGGCCCGCCGGTTATCGGGGATGCCCCCCCCCCCCGGCCAGCCCCGTCCCATTCCATCCCATCCAGTGGTCCCCTGTCCCCATCTCTCTCTCGAGTCTCGACCCTCATCCGACGGGATATGCCGTCCGTCCCCCCTCTCATCCTGTATGCCCCCGGCCCCATTCCATCCCGTCGGTCCCTCATCCCATCCGGTGTGTCCCCTGTCCCAACCTCCTGTCCTCTTCGACCTCTTCCTATCCTACCTAGCCCCCGTCCCACTCGTCACTCCCCAAGGCCGTATCAGTATAGGTCACTGCACCGTCCCAACTAAGGCTACAGTAAACCGTCCCAGTCATACGGGCGTCGGGCTGTTCCGTGGGATTTATTTGGCACTGTCCCGGTGTTTTTTGTTGGCGGCCCGCCGTTCTAGTGGGTCGAGTTGGTCGTCCCCGTCAGGAAACCGTGTTCGTTTCGTCTGCGATGAAAATTCCTAGGTCGAGGTCTGGCCTATACACGTTCATGGGCACGCGACTCGTGTTTTAACTGGTCCTCCCCTGTATCGATCCTCGCGTCGCGCCTGCCTTCCCTAATGTCGAAATTAACGCAAACAAACGCTGGCCGCCCGGTGGCCCGTCTCTGGCCGTCACTGTGCGCGTCACCGCCCGGCTGGTGGGGCGTGAGTCAGCTGTCTCGAGAGTTTACGAGTAGTTGTAGCAGTGTTAGCTGAGGCGCATTAGGAGGTGTTTGGGAAAAACGGCCAAGGTAGTTTTTGGATATCCCCGGCGAGGCCAAGGTATTGGAATTTTGTGTGATAATTTCGTCTTCTTGTTTTCAATCGTTCGTTCAACTCTAAAAATTGTGTACTGTTACACTAGTACAGACGAGAGATGCATGTCTTTGAAGCGTATATACAAGCGCAAAGCGGACTTATTAGTCGGCGCTCCCTAAAGCTCCAATAAACAAACTTTGAAGCGTAGGCGTATATGACGAATAGCGAAATATGCTTAACAAATATCATACTACATTACCCTCCACGATCACTGGTTATTTCACATTGAGCTTCGGATCCAACCCTGCGTTTGTAGCTATGATTCTTAATCATTGACGTTTTGGATCTTTTTTTTTTACAGAGACTGAACCATCTACCGCGTTAAAACCATGGGCACCAAGTTTGAGTTCTCGATCGACCGCGGTGGTACATTCACCGATATTTACGCGCGGTGTCCGGGCGGCCGGGTGCGGACCCTGAAACTGCTCTCCTCGGATCCGGACCGGTATCCGGACGCGCCCACCGAGGGGATCCGGCGGATACTGGAACAGGTGGGTCAGGTGCTGGAACGCGAATGAATGACCGGCTGAGTATCCATTGTTAGTAGGAATAGGCGACTTATGGTGACGGGTGCATGAATGAATAAGTGAATGACAGTTGCTTACTTTATGAATGTATGAATGAATGAATGAATGAATGAATGAATGAATGAATGAATGAATGAATGAATGAATGGACAAATCGTGATAAATGATAATCAAAGAAGAGGTAGCAGATAAATGAATGAATCAATGAATGAGTGAATATGTTGATAAATGAGTGTGTCAGTGTATGATTTAATGAGTCAATGAACGAGTGAATGAGAGCGTGAGGAAATTATATTTACTTACAAAGCGGGATTTGATAAACTGTTGATATTATCCCGCGCCCCAGTGGCAGTCTCAGCCAACTTCGCCCTAGTGGGGGGGGGGGGGCATATGTTACCACCCACCTTTCTCAAAAACTAAGAGGGCTAGAAAGACGCGGTAAAAAGTAGTCGATAGCTCTTAATGCGTATGTTTGAAAGTATTTCAGTCATTTTTCATCTTAGAGCAATATTGGGGTCACCAGAGGTCCTCAAATGTCAAAATTTGCCAATGGTCATAATATTTTTCAGAAAACATGCCGTTATCTCAGGAACTATGGTAGCTAAAAAAACGCATGGAAAAGCAATCGATAGCTCTTAAACTCTTCTTTTGAAAAGGTCATTATCAAAATTGACCTCAGGTCAACGGTTTAGCCTCCAGAGGGCAAAAACTAAAAAATAGCTGTTTTTACGAAGTGTTTTTTCGACAATAACTTTCGACAACAAAAAGCAACGACATTTCTATTGCCAGAATCGTGTTCCTCTCGCCGAGACGCGTCGAATGAACTATAATTTGACCTTGAAAGGTCAACTTGAAAATTTGACCTCAGGTCAAGGTCATGACCTGACCGGAAAAGGTCATGCTACATATCAGTCGATGCGTCTCCGCAAGACAAACACAATGAGACCATCCCCAGCGTTCTATCTCTTTCCAATCGCGAGTTATTGGCAAAAATATGTTTGTAGCCTCAAATGACCTCGGATGACCTCTCTAGAGGCTATCAGCAAAAATGACACCTTGGTCATCATGGGTGGTCCAAATCATTGTGCTTCTGAAATATTTGGACTGTTCCTATGCGTACACACGGATCTAAAGGCATTTTCATTTTTCTCCATTGACTTGTAATGGAAAGGTCACGCCACTGACCTGACCTTAGGTCACGGATATAAAAAATCAGAGATATACAAATTGTAGGCGCCCATAACATCATGCAATCCACCAAGTTTAAAACCTTTCTGACAAACACTGCAGGCTGGACATGATTGCAAACTTTTTTAGGCTTGGTCAGTTAACTTGACCTGGTGACCTGACCTGACATGACCTGGGGTAAAAAATTTCACACATTGTCCAATAATGTCCAAAATTGATGTACCAAAAGCTACCCCAAGCGGCGCGGCGCTACGCGCCGCGGTTTTTTATTCACACGCAAAAAACGCGACAGGGTGGTAACATATGCCCCCCCCCCCCCACTGGGGCGAAGGTTATTCATGAATTGAGCCGATAAATGTATTTTTATGCTCTCCAGCAGACACAAAGTAGGCATGAGACTGTGTGACTGAGATTGAGACTGCACTCTCTCATAAAACACCCACCCCATTCAGCATTAAGTCCGTCAGCCATTCACTGCATTTACCTGTCGTCCTCTCACTTTCTCAGGAGACGGGCCGCCCGTTCCCGGCCGGTGAGCCGATCGACACCAGTGCCATCTCGTGGATCCGGATGGGAACTACAGTGGCCACTAACGCCCTGCTGGAGAAGAAGGGCGCGGAGATGGCCCTGCTGATCACAGCCGGGTTCAGGGACGTGCTGCACATCGGCAACCAGGCGCGGCCCAAAATATTCGACCTGGTAAGTAGCGCAGCTCCGACTTGGGTCGTTCGTTATGTGTTCCTTTGGACCTTAGGGTTTGTCTTCTGTCGCGTGCTTAAAATGTTTCGTGCATGCTTCTTTAGCATCTTAGCAGTGTCGTTATGTATTTTCGTCCACACGATTCACAGGATCTTCGATCTATACTCAGCTGTGACTTCAAAGCTGAAGCGCAACTGTACGCTAGGATTTACTGTCATCTCCTGTGCCTGTGCATTAGTACAACTAAGACTAGTGACAGTACCCCAGTTCGGACGTGCTGTACGGTGTGTTCTACCATTTTCTACCGTGTTCTTTTTTTTATTCGGTGTCTTGTCCGGACGTGCTCTTCTGTTTTCTGCCATGTTCTACCTACCCATTACCCATGCTCCGGCAGTCGGTGTCGTGCCCGTACGTATTCTTCTGTGTTCTACCATGTTCTACTCTTCCTCCGACAGTCGGTATCGTGTCCGGACGTGCTCTACCGTGACGTGGTGGAGGTGGACGAGCGCCTCTTCCTGGCGTCACCGAGATGTCAGATGAAGCACGACTACGAGCGGGTGACAGCGCGGTCAGGTCAGCAGGGGTTAGGGAAGGAAGGGGGGCTTCTTTTCGGCATGTCCTTCTCTTTTCATATTGGCAATGCATTTTTCACGAAACGCTTCTGCATCTTTGTCTGAATTATGTCGATATCTAGTATCTACGTCCGGTCCCATTTCAAGTAGATAGTCTAACAAACCATACCACTGCGACCGGCGTATGCAACGGTTCGCCACTGCCCACTAACCCTCCCTTTCTCACCGCCCTGTCAAACCGTACCCCGCCAGGTCAGGAGCTGCTGGTGGTGCGGCGTCCCGACCTCCGCTGACCGTCTTACCGTACACCCGCCAGGCCAAGAGCTGCTGGTGGTGCGGCGTCCCGACCTCCGCTGACCAGTTAACCGTACCCCTTTCAGGTCAGGAGCTGCTGGTGGTGCGGCGTCCCGGCCTCCGCTGACCGTCTTACCGTACCCCTTTCAGGTCAGGAGCTGCTGGTGGTGCGGCGTCCCGACCTCCGCTGACCGTCTTACCGTACCCCTTCCAGGTCAGGAGCTGCTGGTGGTGCGGCGTCCCGACCTCCGCTGACCGTCTTACCGTACTCCTGCCAGGCCAGGAGCTGCTGGTGGTGCGGCGTCCCGGCCTCCGCTGACCGTCTTACCGTACTCCCGCCAGGCCAGGAGCTGCTGGTGGTGCGGTGTCCCGACCTCCGCTGACCAGTTAACCGTCCCCTTTCAGGCCAGGAGCTGCTGGTGGTGCGCCGTCCGGACCTCAGCGCGCTGGAGCCCCAGCTGCAGGCCCTGCTGGACCGCGGCATCACCAGCCTGGCCGTGGTGCTCATGCATTCATACCTGTGAGTAACTTGTGACTGGGAGTACTCGTACCTGTGAGTACACTCCTACCTGTGAGTATTGGTGTCTGTGAACTGAGTACTCCTACCTGTGAGTAACTTGCGATCGATTGGGAGTAACTCGTATCTGTGAGTACTTCTACCTGTGAATTTTCGTACCTGTGAGTACTCCTACCTCTGAGTACTCGTACTCGTAAGTACCCGTACCTCTTGCTACTCGTACATGTAAGAGTTCACAGTTTTGTGCCTGTGTTTCTCGCACCTGCTATTTTGGACTTCTACTCTTGCGCTTGTACCTTTTTTGTACCTTTTCTAAACATGTACCTTTTCTTGTGTGTTTTAAGATCTCATTATAATACTTTGTAAGTGTTTTCGAGTATGGCCGTATGATTATCTGTCCGTCCCCCCGCCAGATTCCCTGACACTATGTGTGTCCGTGTCCCCCAGTTACCCGGACCACGAGCGGTTGGTGGGCGCCCTGGCGGCGCGGCTCGGGTTCACCCACGTCAGTCTCTCCTCCGAGGTGATGTCGATGGCCCGCCTGGTACCGCGCGGGTTCACGGCAGCCGCTGACGCCTACCTGACGCCGTGCATCAAACACTATCTGAAGGTGGGTGTTATAACGGCGGTACTGCCTGAGGGTGGGTGTTAATTTACCTGAGGGTGGGTGCTATAGCGGCGGTACTGGGTGCCATTGTGTCTACCTGGGGGTTCCGCTGGCGTAAAACCGGCGATACTGGTAGGCATGTAAGGGACGATCTATTTATGGAAAAACGATCGGGCTCATAATTACACCACAATAACAGTTATGTGCACGGCTTAAGGTCGTCTTCGATCGCACTGATTTGGATTTTATTTCACGGTACGTGCGAAAACGCCATGCGACGGGAGGGACGTTGCGTTTGGCGGCTTATTCCGAATGTACCACTATTTTTCAGCACTGCACCAGGAGTCAGCCATTTTCTCAGGATGTTCATGTGAATGCGTACAAATGCATGGCCTTCTCCGCCTTAAAGACTATTATTGCAATATCATACGGCCCCTATAAATGCTCTCACACTTTTTCTGCGCTTGCTCTTTCCTCTCGGTAGTAGGGTATCGTGGATTGTATCTCATTTGATCTGCTAATGAAACCTATCAACAGGGGCGGCGGATTCGGGGGGGCAGGGGGGCAGTTGCCCCCCCCTGGCAAACTCGTGGGGGGGGGCAAAAGTATCTTTTTGCCCCCCCCCCCATAATTTTTGACAAAACTTAGACAAGAAACATATACCTGATTATTCTGTTCGATCATCTGAAGATGTAACCAGATGCCCATATACTTTATCATACGTTGCCTTTCTTAAATGACAAGTGTTCGCGTTCAATTCAAGTTTTCCTCTCTTTAACCTAGTTTTGGAGACATTATAAGCGTCAAAGTGACGCAGCGGCAACCCAGGCCTTCAGTTACCGCTTACAGGGGCGACAGATACGAAGCGGCAGAGGAGGCATCGTTCCCTAAGAAACTTTTGGAGGAGGGGCAAACGTATATTCTTGCCCCTCCATAATTTGTGCCCTAAACATGAAGAAAATTTCCATAGCCTGATATTGCAGCTATGCGCTCCTACAGTTTGTCCAACGGTGCCTTTTGAATATGTGTAAATGCTAACCATTTCCGCTTTATAGCATTTTTTGGCTTTTCAGATTCGATTTAGAGATATTTTAAGTGTGCAAGAGACGCAACTCACACCCTCAGTGGTCGTTTGCCGCTATTTTGTACCTACATGAATGCCAAATCGCAAGCGAGCGGAGACGGAAGGGCTAGCCATTCGCTTTCGGGTAGTTAGGACTGATGAGTGCTCGTAATAAGCCACTCCCCTGATTTTTTCGAACGCAACAGTTTCCAGTGCAAGTAAAATGGTAAACGCCGAGGTCGTACACATTGACCACATTGACCAATGCACGGTATGACACCCAAAGGCCAGTCATCAGAGATCTGCTTTGGGCATTCGGAGGCTTGTGTGGGGCCAGTGTAAAAACTGGATGTTCACAGTTCAGTATCCGCTTTATTTCAGTATTCACGATTAAATAAGTAAAAGTTAACGTTGGAAACTTTTGAGGGTTAGGGCACTGATCATTAGTGGGACCCCCTCTGGCTAAAGGCTGGCTATAGAATACAGAGCATCGAACACGAAAGCAAAATCTAAGGCATTTTGGAAAAATGAGTATGCCACGCAGCGTCCGATAACTACCACTTTCCAGTGGGTCAAGCCAACGGGGTCCAAGTCTATAATGGCACTTAACGATAGCACTAACCTTGTCTCACTTTTCGTTGAAGTCTGTTCCGAATGGTTTTGGCGACAGACTGTCTGCACTGAGGTCGTTTGGTATGTGCAACTGTAATTAAAGCCACCTGAGGCGCCCACACTAGGCTGAAGCTGGGTTGGAAATGCTTCGTCTTTGCAGATATCACTGGCCGCTGATTCTCGAGTGCCTGAACCGGTAGATGTCGTGGCAAAATTTGGTGTGATAATTTGGTCCTTGCCGTAGTCAGCGCACCCTAAAGTCCTAATAAAGAAACGCTCCTCCCCCCCCCCCGAGCTTCTGCATCCAGTCCAACGAATTACTTCACCCTAGTCCACCGCTCGACTCCCTCACCTCAGCCCTCCGTTCCCAGCTTGACGAGCGTTTGGGCCTTAGTTAAGCCTTGCTGTGGGCTTACTGTAGGATAAACCCATCGAGACAGCCCGTCTCGATGAGCTTAATTGGCGAACTACTGCCTTGGGGTGGGTTTCTGGCGGATTGCTGTCCCAAAAGGTTTAGATGCGACCGACTGTCTCTGAATGTTTGAGCGGTCTCCTCCCGCTGTTAGCTAGTTTCAGTTGATATCTGTCTCAGAAATACTTTTAACTTTTTAAAGGAAGGTTAAACGGAAATCGAACGTAAAGTGAACAGAGGAAAAGTGGTAACGACTCGAGTTACCTCATTGAAGAATAGCGCTCGCCTACTTCAAAAGGTTTGGCACCGTTCTTCAAATCTGATTTGCGATCGGGTTATGGGCTATGGCACATTTTTTCCCATTGGAGCCTTTTTTCTAATACAGCAATACGAAAATCGTTACATCGTCCACTGGCGGATCCAGAGAGCGGGCATATAAAGCAAATATTTACTCCCCCTGCCCTTGCATCGCCCGAAATAGACAAAACGTACCTTATGTTTCCTAATAATAAAACTTTTATCAGAATGTTTTTTGCTTTATACTGTTCAGCAGTAAAGGAATCGAAATCCGAGGAGTTTTTGGATTTTGGACACTTGGGGGGGAGGGGTATGTCCCCTACAGCGTCGAAAACGCCTTTCTGGATCCGCCTATGACATCATCTCGACTGGGATCTTGCCCCCCCCCCACGCCAAAATCGAATCCGCCGCCACTGCCTATCAATGTTGCCTGAATCACATAAAAACTGAATCTTTCATCTGCACCCCATCTCTCGCCTCTGCCTCTCTACGCCTCGGTACCTATATTCTGTCGCCTGATGCCGTTCTATTTGTGTTGGCTGCCGCGCAGAGTTTCAGCTCTGGCTTCCGGGACGAGCTGCGCGGAGTCAATGTGCTGTTTATGCAGAGCGACGGCGGCCTGACGCCCATGGACAGGTAAACACCGGTCTGACGGAGAGACCTGACACATATCAGGACAGGTAAACACCGATCTGACAGAGAGACCTGACACATATCAGGACAGGTAAACACCGATCTGACAGAGAGACCTGACACATATCAGGACAGGTAAACACCGATCTGACAGAGAGACCTGACACCCATCAGGACAGGTAAACACCGGTCTGACAGAGAGACCTGACACATATCAGGACAGGTAAACACCGATCTGACAGAGAGACCTGACACATATCAGGACAGGTAAACACCGATCTGACAGAGAGACCTGACACATATCAGGACAGGTAAACACCGGTCTGACAGAGAGACCTGACACCCATCAGGACAGGTAAACACCGATCTGACAGAGAGACCTGACACATATCAGGACAGGTAAACACCGGTCTGACAGAGAGACCTGACACATATCAGGACAGGTAAACACCGATCTGACAGAGAGACCTGACACATATCAGGACAGGTAAACACCGGTCTGACAGAGAGACCTGACACCCATCAGGACAGGTAAACACCGATCTGACAGAGAGACCTGACACATATCAGGACAGGTAAACACCGATCTGACAGAGAGACCTGACACATATCAGGACAGGTAAACACCGGTCTGACAGAGAGACCTGACACCCATCAGGACAGGTAAACACCGACCTGACAGAGAGACCTGACACCCATCAGGACAGGTAAACACCGGTCTGACAGAGAGACCTGACACCCATCAGGACAGGTAAACACCGGTCTGACGGAGAGACCTGACACCCATCAGGACAGGTAAACACCGGTCTGACAGAGAGACCTGACACCCATCAGGACAGGTAAACACCGGTCTGACAGAGAGACCTGACACCCATCGGGACGGGTAAACACCGGTCTGACGGAGAGACCTGACACCCATCAGGACAGGTAAACACCGATCTGACAGAGAGACCTGACACCCATCAGGACAGGTAAACACCGGTCTGACGGAGAGACCTGACACCCATCAGGACAGGTAAACACCGGTCTGACAGAGAGACCTGACACCCATCAGGACAGGTAAACACCGGTCTGACAGAGAGACCTGACACCCATCAGGACAGGTAAACACCGGTCTGACGGAGAGACCTGACACCCATCAGGACAGGTAAACACCGGTCTGACGGAGAGACCTGACACCCATCAGGACAGGTAAACACCGGTCTGACAGAGAGACCTGACACCCATCAGGACAGGTAAACACCGGTCTGACAGAGAGACCTGACACCCATCAGGACAGGTAAACACCGGTCTGACAGAGAGACCTGACACCCATCAGGACAGGTAAACACCGATCTGACAGAGAGACCTGACACCCATCAGGACAGGTAAACACCGGTCTGACAGAGAGACCTAACACCCATCAGGACAGGTAAACACCGGTCTGACAGAGAGACCTGACACCCATCAGGACAGGTAAACACCGGTCTGACAGAGAGACCTGACACCCATCAGGACAGGTAAACACCGATCTGACAGAGAGACCTGACACATATCAGGACAGGTAAACACCGATCTGACAGAGAGACCTGACACATATCAGGACAGGTAAACACCGATCTGACAGAGAGACCTGACACATATCAGGACAGGTAAACACCGATCTGACAGAGAGACCTGACACATATCAGGACAGGTAAACACCGATCTGACAGAGAGACCTGACACATATCAGGACAGGTAAACACCGATCTGACAGAGAGACCTGACACATATCAGGACAGGTAAACACCGATCTGACAGAGAGACCTGACACATATCAGGACAGGTAAACACCGATCTGACAGAGAGACCTGACACATATCAGGACAGGTAAACACCGGTCTGACGGAGAGACCTGACACCCATCAGGACAGGTAAACACCGGTCTGACGGAGAGACCTGACACCCATCAGGACAGGTAAACACCGGTCTGACAGAGAGACCTGACACCCATCAGGACAGGTAAACACCGATCTGACAGAGAGACCTGACACATATCAGGACAGGTAAACACCGATCTGACAGAGAGACCTGACACATATCAGGACAGGTAAACACCGATCTGACAGAGAGACCTGACACATATCAGGACAGGTAAACACCGATCTGACAGAGAGACCTGACACCCATCAGGACAGGTAAACACCGGTCTGACAGAGAGACCTGACACCCATCAGGACAGGTAAACACCGGTCTGACAGAGAGACCTGACACCCATCAGGACAGGTAAACACCGGTCTGACAGAGAGACCTGACACCCATCAGGACAGGTAAACACCGGTCTGACAGAGAGACCTGACACATATCAGGACAGGTAAACACCGATCTGACAGAGAGACCTGACACATATCAGGACAGGTAAACACCGATCTGACAGAGAGACCTGACACCCATCAGGACAGGTAAACACCGGTCTGACAGAGAGACCTGACACCCATCAGGACAGGTAAACACCGATCTGACAGAGAGACCTGACACATATCAGGACAGGTAAACACCGGTCTGACAGAGAGACCTGACACCCATCAGGACAGGTAAACACCGATCTGACAGAGAGACCTGACACATATCAGGACAGGTAAACACCGATCTGACAGAGAGACCTGACACATATCAGGACAGGTAAACACCGGTCTGACGGAGAGACCTGACACCCATCAGGACAGGTAAACACCGATCTGACGGAGAGACCTGACACATATCAGGACAGGTAAACACCGATCTGACAGAGAGACCTGACACCCATCAGGACAGGTAAACACCGATCTGACAGAGAGACCTGACACATATCAGGACGGGTAAACACCGGACTGACGCCCATGGACAGGTAAACACCGGTTTGACGCCCATGGACAGGTGAAGTATGGTTCACAGGCGACAAGGACTGAGGACAGATAAAAAAAACTAGTTTTTATGCACTTAAACACCGTGATCACCACCAGCCCTAAATACGGGCAGATGACAACAGTCAGACAGCTAAATAATTCTCCCGACTTAGTTACTATGACACCTAAGTAAAATGAGACTCCCCGACGTGCTACTCCAAATCACGGACCCGTTTGCCCGCCGTGTTTTCTCCCGCCAGTTTTAACGGCTCGCGCGCCATCCTGTCGGGCCCGGCCGGTGGCGTGGTCGGGTACGCCCAGACCACCCATCGGCGAGAGACACAGCTGGCCGTCATCGGCTTCGACATGGGCGGCACCAGTACCGACGTCAGCCGCTTCGACGGCGCCTTCGAGCACGTGTTCGAGTCGACCACCGCCGGCGTGGTCATCCAGGCGCCGCAGGTGCGGACGAGGAGGGAGAGGGAGGGGTTTGGGTGGTTTTACATAGATTAAGTTGAGGGATTGCCCTTCTTTTTGTGTTGTGTGTGTGTGTGGGGGGGGGGGGGTAATATATGCGTTTTCTTGTTGTTGGCATTGCCAGCTGTAGCAAAGTGTTGTGGAGTTAATATTTTGAAGACATTCCTGCATGGTTTAGTTCTTATGTTTCTGATGTCGCGACTCCACCGCAGACGTGACCTGACCTGACCCTGCTCATGACCTGATCTGACCTTACTCTACCCATGACCTGACGTCCTCACCTGACGCTACCCATCACATGATCTGCCCTGACCTGATCTTTGGTCACACAGTTTTGGGTCCATGGACCTGACCTGACCTGACCTGTCCCCAGCTGGACGTGAACACGGTGGCGGCTGGCGGCGGCTCCGTCCTTGCCTTCCGAGACGGGCTGTTCGCAGTGGGACCAGAGTCGGCCGGCGCGCACCCAGGTAGTTATTACTCATGCCCTACACCTCCCTGTACTGTATCGTGGAGCCAGAGTTGGCCGGCGCGCACCCAGGTATGTAGCTACGACTGTGAACTAGGGTACGTGTAGCACATACCCCATCCCTCCCGGCATTAAGTCCGTACTGTACCGCGGGCCAGAGTCGGCCGGCGCCCACCCTGGTACGGATTACCACTCACCTGACCGCACGGTATCCCTCTGCACCGCACATATTCGTCTCCCTGTGCTATGAAGCCGAGTCGGCCGGCGCCAGTTTGGGTAGATACGTTCAGATATCTCAGAGAGGCAGTCCACTCGTGTGGTGGTGACCCCCACGTCTCATTGTTAGCGCGTTGCTGCGTTATCGCCATCTCTGATCATCTTTCTTCTTCTCCTCCCGGCCCAACTGGTCTGGCCTGCCAAAAACTCTCTGTTCTCAGGCCCGACCTGAAGAATAGGTAATCTTTCCAGGCACTGTCTGCTATGAACCCTCTGCTTCCAGACCCGATCTGCTAAGAAGTGAAAACACTCTCCCCTAAGCCGTACTATCTGAAGAACACTTCCCTATCCCTTTCTAGGCCCTGTCTGCTACAAGAAGGGCGGCCCCCTGACCGTCACCGACGCCAACCTGGTGCTGGGCCGGTTGCTGCCCGACTTTTTCCCGAGGATATTCGGCCCGAACGAGGACCAGCCGCTGGACAGTTCGGCCGCCTACACCCAGATGCAGAACCTCGCCAACGACGTAAGACACGCGGTGTTTGAATGGTGGGATAACGAGCGTGCACGAACAGCGAAGCGACTTGGCTTTTACTGGAGAAATCTGAGTATAAGCACATTCCCAATGTGGCAGGACTTGTGGTGCATTCAGCTTTTTTAATTTGACAGCGATCCTACAGACTAACGAGCGGTTTGCAGTAGCTGCTACCCGGTCTGTTGTCTACAAGCTATTCCAAACAATGTAGAAGTACAGAAAAGTATCACGGCTAATTATGCGCACTAACACGTAATTTGTCCTTCGTTGTGGCGTGGCGTTTGAATAGATGTCTGGAGACTGTTTGGTCAGTCTGTCAGCGGCGGTGTGTGTCAACAGGTGAACAAGTTTCTGCAGTCGCAGAAGGGTGACGCGGTGTCGGAGCCGATGTCGGTCGAGGAGGTCGCCATGGGCTTCATCAGGGTGGCCAACGAGACCATGTGCCGGCCCATCCGCAGTCTCACTCAGGTGAGGATTGGCAGTCACTCAGGGTGAAGCTCACCCATGTGAAGTCTCAGTCAGGTGGGGTGGCTCAGCCTCGCGCAAGTGAAGTGCTGTTGTAGTCTTTATCGTAATGGCAGTTCCATGTCAGTGTAAATCAGTATTTCGTTTCATCCATTCTGAGCCCGTTCGTTCATTCATTCATTCATTCATTCATTGATTTTCCACTTACTCACCTACCCACACATTCGTTCAGTCGTAAATCCATCCATTTCAGTCACTTATCCAATCATTCGCCCACTCACTCATTCATTCATTCATTGATTCATTCATTCGTTTGTTTATTCACCAAGTCAGATGAGTGAATGTGTGGGTACCCATTCATTCATTCATTCGCCCATTAAGCCATTCATTCAATTTATTCACCCATTCATTTATTCACCCATTCATTCACCTCTTCATTTTTTCCGCTTTATTTTTACCGCAATAGCGAAAAAATTGTCTTGTAAAGCTTGTGTAAACCTACGGGTACTCGATACTTGGTTTTTGCTGCTTTCGAACCGCCACAAATCCTTGTATTTGGGCCCGGTAACCTACGGGCAAACAGTGTTATTTAAGTACACAAGTGTTATCTACCTTTCTCCTCAGCAATCCGGCCCACCACTTCTCACAATGAAGGCGTCCTCCACAACTTACCGTTAGCCCCGCCGTCTCACCCCGCTCTGTTCCACGCCAGGCCCGCGGCCACGACACCTCTCAGCACGCGCTGGCCTGTTTCGGCGGCGCAGGAGGTCAGCACGCATGCGCAATAGCGCGCGCTCTCGGCATGGGCACCGTGTTTGTGCACAGGTGAGGACTACAGATGGCGGATGAATTTATGTGATGATGGACAAGTTGGGATGGTGCACGTAGTTAGCACTGAGTAAAGCCTGAAACAGACTTTCCGCAGTCAGGAAATCGCATGCGAGAGCCTATTCAAATACATGGAAGCACGCTCGCATCAATCGCACGCACCTCCCGCAAGCGATTGATGCGAGAAGAATTACAATGTATTTGAATAGGCTCTCGCATGCGATTTCCTGAACGCGGAAAGAGTCTGTTTCAGCCTTTAGGCTGTAATGTGTGTGGCCTCATTGCCCCGAAAATGTCCGAAGAATATTTTTCGCCAACTGTTGCGGTTCCTTGAGTTTTTTTTTTTTACTGGGACTCATCAAGTCATACTATGTTACCCGTGGCCGTCTGTTCTGGCTGAAAAATTGTTAGCGAACAGCTATCCCTCACAGCTGCTCTGTGCAGATGACCGGACACTGACCTTACCCGCGCCCGTTTCCCAGATACGCCGGTATCCTATCCGCGTTCGGTATGGCTCTGGCCGACGTGGTGCACGAGGCCCAGGAGCCGTGCGGACTGCTCTACGGACCAGGTGCGACCGCTGGGGAGTGGGTCGTGCTGTGGGGAGGGGGCATGGAGGAGGGCTCAGGGTAGATAGGTGAGGGACGCAAGAAGGAGCGAGTGAGGGTGGGATGAATAAATCGCTGAGCTGAAGAGCAAATGAAGTAGCTGTAGTAAACGGAGGTGCAGCTGAATTCAACGGATATTAATTATATCGGGAATTTTTGTTTTAATTGACTTATTTCTTATGAGTTCTGACTTGATAGATGGTCAAAGTACGCAGGTAATAAACAATTGTCGTATTCGGCATTCGCGGACTCGCCGGGCTTCGAACCCGGGACCGGCAGGCAGAACGCCGGCCGGCGGCAGCAGCCCGGCTCGGTGCTATTTTACTGCGAAAATAAAGTGTGCTCAAGTGACAAGGAAAATATAAATAATAATTTGTTAATGTATGGAAAATAAGATGTTTGAAAACAGTTTCGCAGCCAGCCTTATTGATCAGTTAGTTGATTTTTTCCGACTTCTGCAGAAAATCCCGAAAACACCCGTGTCCGCCGGTCCTACCCTTCGTAATCTGGTGCGGATGTGCCGATTTTCGCCGACGAGTGGTTGTCGGCCACCAGCCGCCCATAACGCGGTGGTCTCGGCCAGCTGACGGCGGCCGGCGCAGTCAGCTGGCGCGGCCGGCCGGTATGGGCGGCTGGTGGCCGACAACCACTCGTCGGCGGCTGCGGCGCGGCCGGACGCGGCTCAACACGCGCCGCGTTGGGGTGTTTTTGCCGGCGCCGCCCGCCGTATGTTGTGTATCGTCGGCGAGGGGCGTGCCGCGCGGTATGGGCGGCTACTGCATTCGCCCGCCGGCGTCGGCGCCGCTGGTTATTTATTTACGTGGTGTGCGCCGACGAACGAGGGAGGATGAAAACAAAGTAGTGCATGTACAGTCTGTCTTAAAAGTACCGCGCAAAGTGACGGTGGATCCATCAAGCCTGACCGATGAAGGACTGCCAAATTTGAGTCACCGAAGCAATGGACATCCTCGTCCATTCCCCAGCTCCATTGGTTCGGTGACTTTCAAATTATAGCAGGCCCTTCCTCGGTCAGGCTTGATGGATCCACCGTCACTTTGCGCGGTACTTTTAAGACAGACTGTACAGTCTGTCTTAAAAGTACCGCGCAAAGTGGCGGTGGATCCATCAAGCCTGACCGAGAAAGGGCCTGTTTTAATTTAAAAGTCACCGACCAATTGACCTAGGGAATGGATAAGGATGTCAGTTGCTTCAGTGACCCAAATTTAGCAGGCCCTTGCTCAGTCAGGCTCGATGGATCCACCGTCACTTTGCGCGGTACTTTTAAGACAGACTGTACATGGTGGTTGGTGGCTTTGTTGCGTGCAGGGAGGGCGGGAGGGAAGGTCGGCTTGACGAGCGTCTTTGAGTGATCGGTGGAATTATTTTAGGCTAGTTTCGAACAGCAACGTTTCAAGATGCGTGGAGCTTTCAACAAACAAAATACCGTAATAATAAATATTATGTAAGTTTTTTTTTTTGCCGATGAAGATAATCCGAAATGAGTCGGCGGCGTCCGCTGAGCGAGCCGAGCCTGTTGTCGTAGTATGTTCCACCATGACTGACCAACACATTAATGTTATATTAGCCTGCGCTCGCTCCAATGCAAAAAGATTTTGAAACTCGGTTGAAATGTATGTTGCCCTGTCACCACGTCCAAACGCCATCCACGTCATTCGGATTGTATTGTTTTGTTTCAGATAATTTCGCGTACTTTGACGAGCGACTGGTAGCTCTATCGGAGGTGTGCCGCGAGAAACTGCGACAACAGGGATTCACTGACGACAAGGTAACTACATCAATTCCCCTTCTTTGTTCATCTTCTTTGTCTTCGTTCCCAGTCTTCGTAGGCCATGTTGTCTGGATTCCGGTACTAATCGGCAAATCGGAATTTACGAGTACATATGCATCCAGTTCTTTTTCATTTTGTTGAACGGAAAAAGTGTGGTCATGCTGTGGATTGTGGAATAATTTTTGCCCTGTCCTGTCACGACCTGTGTATACTGGATCGGATCACAGCCCCCCCCCCCCCCTGCTCTATCCCGACGGAACTGTTACCACCCTTTTCTTCGCTGACTTCCCCGTTCCCCCATTTTTTTCCTCAGATTGTGACTGAGGTGCACCTGCACATGCGATACGACAAGACTGACTGTGCCCTGATGATCCATCCCTCTGAAGCCGGGACGGACGCTCCCTCTCCAACCCACGGAGACTTCATGGAGGCGTTCCTTCGAAGGTATTTGGCGACCAGCGGCTCTGATTCTCGGTATTTTTTCACGGTGTCTCGTTTTTTCATCGGGAGAAACTCTTCCACATGCTATGTTTTGCAAGTGGCTGAACTGACTGAGCGTACACGCTTGGTTACTTTGCCAGTCAACTGATGATGAATTAGCTTGACACTCTTTAATTTTCTCATATATTCCGGTCAGATATCACGTCTTTCTATGCCAAATGTTCTTTTTTATGCCCTATGCCCAAATCGTGCTAAAACCTTTCCGTTTATATCTTCCGCCGTTCAAACATTGCGTAACCCTAGCAGCTGAATCGCATGGAAGTTGTCTTCGCTTTTCCTGCTACCGTCTTTTCGTTCCTATGGCTCATTCAGTTTTCATTCATATGTCCCTTATTTACCTTTCCTCCCCTCCATTCTACCCAGGTACCGCAAGGAGTTCGGGTTCGTGATCAGTGACCGGGACGTGGTCGTGGATGACGTCAGAGTGCGGGGGCGGGGCCTGGCCTCCGTGGACGATGACGTCACACTGCCACCGGCACAGACTCTGCCCACTCCAAAAACGGTAAGTGTGACTATTTCGAGCTGTGGTGAGAAATTTAGACCCGTCAATCACCCTTGCACCTTTTTCAGTCAGATGTTAGAAAGTAACAAACAAATGTTTGTTAAAAAATGTTTGTTAGAGCACTACATTGTGTAGCGCTCTAACAAATTAGTTCTTTTGAAAATCTCGGGAGGCTTTAGGAGGCCAATTTTTATCAACCCGTTCAGACTGTCCCGGTTTTAAACGGTAATGCATTATTGACGATAGATAAGGACACTGTGCTGCCGTTGTGAAGGAGACTAAAGTATACTTTGTGGGCGGGTACGGCATGGTGCAAGTGCACCTGTATTGTTGCTGCTGCCGTTATAAGGTGTACTTTGTTGTTGCCAGGAGACCAAGGTGTACTTTGTGGGCGGGTACCGCACGGTAAAAGTGTACCTGCTGTCGGAGCTGGGGGCTGGCCAGGAAATCGCCGGTCCCGCCATCATCATGGACTCTCTGAGCACCATACTGGTGGAGCCAGGTCAGTGAATGTCAGAATTCGGCAGTCTTTTTTTTTTTTTGTCTCGTTGCAAAATGTGTATTTACTTATTTTTAACCCTGGCTTTCGTTGTAAAATTGTGTCAATGTCAGATTACTCGACGTCGCATGTGCAGTGTGCAGTCTTTGCTTTAAATTCCTTTACTCTCTTATTCCTTTTCCTTTCCTTTCATGTCAAAGGCACATGTAGTAAATTGAAATGGTATATAGTGAAAAAGCAGCCCATCGCTCGCATTCCATGCCTATGTAATGGTTTGCCTGTTATTGTTCACACCATTGACGTCCCCCTCCGTCCAATCAGACTGCACGGCGACCATTACGTCGCGCGGTGACGTCAGAATCCGGGTGGGCTCGGGCGCTCCGCCGAAAATCGGCCCCGAGCTCGACTCGATCCAGCTGAGCATCTTCGGACACCGGTTCATGAGTCTGGCCGAGCAGATGGGCAGGTGGGTCGCAGGCTCTGTTATAGCAACATATCGCTGCTTGGACCGAATTTCCTAACTGTGCGCCCCTTCCCCAAAGTTCTGCTGATAGCGGCATAAGTTATAAGTCACATTTTGCCCAATTTGTCTTTAAACCTAACCCACCTAATTAAAACAGATACTTTCTGAAAATTGACGAAGCTCACTACGTCGGGTAGTGATTTTGCAATTTAATGCCCCCACTCGCAAGTCGCATGTCGTATCATTGACACTGTTATCTCTCAATGAAACCCTCTCTCTGTGTTTACAAGTCGCTGTTGTGCGCGCTCGCAGGATTCTGCAGCGCACGTCGATATCGACCAACATCAAGGAGCGACTGGACTTTTCGTGCGCGCTGTTCGGTCCGGACGGCGGCCTGGTCTCCAACGCGCCGCACATCCCCGTCCACCTGGGCGCCATGCAGGAGGCCGTCCAGTACCAGGTACACCCTCATACTAATACCAGGTAACGACTGGTCGCCGCACATCCCCGTCCACCTGGGCGCCATGCAGGAGGCCGTCCAGTACCAGGTACAGCCTCATACTAATACCAGGTAACGACTGGTCGCCGCACATCCCCGTCCACCTGGGCGCCATGCAGGAGGCCGTCCAGTACCAGGTACAGCCTCGTACTAATACCAGGTAACGGCTGGTCGCCGCACGTCCCCGTCCACCTGGGCGCCATGCAGGAGGCCGTCCAGTACCAGGTACAGCCTCGTACTAATACCAGGTAACGGCTGGTCGCCGCACATCCCCGTCCACCTGGGCGCCATGCAGGAGGCCGTCCAGTACCAGGTACAGCCTCGTAATGGTATCAGGTAACGGCTGGTCGCCGCACATCCCCGTCCACCTGGGCGCCATGCAGGAGGCCGTCCAGTACCAGGTACAGCCTCGTACTAATACCAGGTAACGGCTGGTCGCCGCACATCCCCGTCCACCTGGGCGCCATGCAGGAGGCCGTCCAGTACCAGGTACAGCATACTATTGCCAGGTACAGCCTTGTAATGGTACCAGGCACCAGGTAACAGTCTAGTCACCGCACATCTCCGTCCACCTGGGCGCCATGCAGGAGGCCGTCCAGTACCAGGTACGGCCTTGTACTAATACCAGGTAACGGCTGGTCGCCGCACATCCCCGTCCACCTGGGCGCCATGCAGGAGGCCGTCCAGTACCAGGTACACCCTCGTACTAATACCAGGTAACGACTGGTCGCCGCACATCCCCGTCCACCTGGGCCCAATGCAGGAGGCCGCCCAGTACCAGGTACAGCATACTATTGCCAGGTACGGACACGGTATACTATTACCAGGTATGGCATACTATTACCAGGTACAGCCTCGTACTAATACCAGGTAACGGCTGGTCGCCGCACATCCCCGTCCACCTGGGCGCCATGCAGGAGGCCGTCCAGTGCCAGGTAGATATTTGGTACTCTCTCGTACTGGTACCAGGTACGGCATGCTATTACCAGGCACGCCCTCGTACTACAGGGTCTTTCACAATGAATGTGATTTTTAAAACGCGAAGTTGAAGGTGTTCGTAAATAATAAAAGCATAAATTTGGTATTTACCTTATTGCAAATTTCTTGGAATTTCTGTTGATGTAATTAAAACTGCCACACTTCACCAAACTTCCGTTTTGTGCGGACATGAAATGCCTCCCCCTACAACACGGGTCAGCTCTTTTTTCACGTAGGCGTTTTGGACGTGGTCGTGGGAAACGGCTCACTGAAGCGCACGGCTGTCCACCGTAAGATTCGGGGACGCTTTTAAAAGAAGCACAACGTCCGCTCTAAAATGATCACAGGCTTGTGAACAGATTCCAGAATGTCACGGTTGACTGCAAGGAACAAAACGCACGAAAGGTCATGTTTTGGGCTGTCGTGGTCGACGGGCGTGTCTTCGTCCACTGGTTCGCTTCTGGCTTCAGTGACCGGGCCAGCTTATCTGAGGCTGCTCAGTGCTCAAGAAAGAATTCTGGCCTCATGTGCCTGGCGGAGTTCGAAGACAAGGCCGCTGGTTTCAGCAGGACGGCGCAGAAGTGACACAACGGCGGCTGGGCGCCAGTGGTTGGATGGCAACTTTGACAGACGAGTGATCAGCCGTCTCACTGAGCGGCCATGGCCAGCTTGGAGCCTTGATCTCTCGCCGATGGACTTCTGATTTTGGGCAGTCGTCTTGGAGACCCCAAGCAGAGACCCTTCCAGTGACCCTCATAGAGCTACAGGTCACAGTGGAGAGGTTTGCTGCAATGCTGTGCGCGGAGGATGTGAAGCGCGTGGTGCACCATTTGCGTCAGTGGGCGAAATCTGGGTTCGAAAGCGAGGCGACACAGTTAAAAATCGATGAAGGGTACCTAAATGCGAGTCATGTGCACATACTTTCCCATGATTTGTTATTTCATTCGGGTATTAACAATAACTTTGTGATGTATATCACCTGAGCTATGGCTATTTTAAAAATAACATTCATTATGAAAGACCCTGTAATACCAGGTAACGGCTGGGCGCCGCACATCCCATCCACAGCTGAGCGCCATGCAGGAGGCCGTCCAGTACCAGGTACGACCTCGCACTGGTACCAGGTACGACATCGTACTGATATGTGGTACTGATGTGAGCACTTACTGTCTCTTCACCCCGCCTTGTTGATCGATCATTATGTGTTTTAACTTTTATAGTCGGTAATCAACTCTTGCTGGCGCTGGGGACTGGTTGACTGTATTGTATTATAAGCTTGATTGATGAATCCATTTTATAGGTACCGCAGTAGTTACAGTGTGACTGTCATTGATTGATTCCGTCTCTAATAGAATGACAATCATGTGAAGCCTCTCTCCGTGATCTAAGTCCAATCAATAATAACCGTCGCCCGGCCCCCTCTCTATCCCCAGATGCGCGCCCTGGGGTCCGACATCCATCCGGGCGACGTGCTGCTCTCCAACCACCCGGCGGCCGGCGGATCGCACCTGCCTGATCTGACCGTCATCACGCCCGTGTTCTACCGGTGAGTGGCGTACCACTGTTATACCATACCTGCCTGATCTGACCGTCATCACGCCCGTGTTCTACCGGTGAGTGGCGTACCACTGTTATACCATACCTGCCTGATCTGACCGTCATCACGCCCGTGTTCTACCGGTGAGTGGCGTACCACTGTTATACTGTACCTGCCCGACCTGACCGTCATCACGCCCGTGTTCTACCGGTGAGTGGCGTACCACTGTTATACCATACCTGCCCGATCTGACCGTCATCACGCCCGTGTTCTACCGGTGGGTACCACTGTTATACCATACCTGCCCGATCTGACCGTCATCACGCCCGTGTTCTACCGGTGAGTGGCGTACCACTGTTATACCATACCTGCCCGATCTGACCGTCATCACGCCCGTGTTCTACCGGTGAGTACCTCTGTTATACCATACCTGCCCGATCTGACCGTCATCACGCCCGTGTTCTACCGGTGAGTACCTCTGTTATACCATATCTGCCCGATCTGACCGTCATCACGCCCGTGTTCTACCGGTGAGTGGCGTACCACTGTTATACCATACCCGCCCGATCTGACCGTCATCACGCCCGTGTTCTACCGGTGAGTGGCGTACCACTGTTATACCATACCTGCCCGACCTGACCGTCATCACGCCCGTGTTCTACCGGTGAGTGGCGTACCTCTGTTATACCATATCTGCCCGACCTGACCGTCATCACGCCCGTGTTCTGCCGGTGAGTGGCGTACCACTGTTATACCATACCCGCCCGATCTGACCGTCATCACGCCCGTGTTCTACCGGTGAGTGGCGTACCACTGTTATACCATACCTGCCCGATCTGACCGTCATCACGCCCGTGTTCTACCGGTGAGTACCTCTGTTATACCATACCTGCCCGATCTGACCGTCATCACGCCCGTGTTCTACCGGTGAGTACCTCTGTTATACCATATCTGCCCGATCTGACCGTCATCACGCCCGTGTTCTACCGGTGAGTACCTCTGTTATACCATACCCGCCCGATCTGACCGTCATCACGCCCGTGTTCTACCGGTGAGTACCTCTGTTATACCATACCTGCCCGATCTGACCGTCATCACGCCCGTGTTCTACCGGTGGGTACCTCTGTTATACCATACCTGCCCGACCTGACCGTCATCACGCCCGTGTTCTACCGGTGAGTGGCGTACCACTGTTATACCATATCTGCCCGATCTGACCGTCATCACGCCCGTGTTCTACCGGTGAGTGGCGTACCACTGTTATACCATACCTGCCCGATCTGACCGTCATCACGCCCGTGTTCTACCGGTGAGTGGCGTACAACTGTTATACCATACCTGCCCGACCTGACCGTCATCACGCCCGTGTTCTACCGGTGAGTACCACTGTTATACCATATCTGCCCGACCTGACCGTCATCACGCCCGTGTTCTACCGGTGAGTGGCGTACAACTGTTATACCATACCTGCCCGACCTGACCGTCATCACGCCCGTGTTCTACCGGTGAGTGGCGTACCACTGTTATACCATACCTGCCCGATCTGACCGTCATCACGCCCGTGTTCTACCGGTGAGTGGCGTACCACTGTTATACCATACCTGCCCGACCTGACCGTCATCACGCCCGTGTTCTACCGGTGAGTGGCGTACCACTGTTATACTGTACCTGCCCGATCTGACCGTCATCACGCCCGTGTTCTACCGGTGAGTGGCGTACCACTGTTATACCATACCTGCCCGACCTGACCGTCATCACGCCCGTGTTCTACCGGTGAGTGGCGTACCACTGTTATACCATACCTGCCCGACCTGACCGTCATCACGCCCGTGTTCTACCGGTGAGTGGCGTACCACTGTTATACCATACCTGCCCGACCTGACCGTCATCACGCCCGTGTTCTACCGGTGAGTACCTCTGTTATACCATACGTGCCCGACCTGACCGTCATCACGCCCGTGTTCTACCGGTGAGTACCTCTGTTATACCATACCTGCCCGATCTGACCGTCATCACGCCCGTGTTCTACCGGTGAGTGGCGTACCACTGTTATACCATACCTGCCCGACCTGACCGTCATCACGCCCGTGTTCTACCGGTGAGTGGCGTACCACTGTTATACTGTACCTGCCCGATCTGACCGTCATCACGCCCGTGTTCTACCGGTGAGTATCTCTGTTATACCATATCTGCCCGACCTGACCGTCATCACGCCCGTGTTCTACCGGTGAGTGGCGTACCACTGTTATACCATACCTGCCCGACCTGACCGTCATCACGCCCGTGTTCTACCGGTGAGTGGCGTACCACTGTTATACCATACCTGCCCGACCTGACCGTCATCACGCCCGTGTTCTACCGGTGAGTACATCTGTTATACCATACGTGCCCGACCTGACCGTCATCACGCCCGTGTTCTACCGGTGAGTACCTCTGTTATACCATACCTGCCCGATCTGACCGTCATCACGCCCGTGTTCTACCGGTGAGTGGCGTACCACTGTTATACCATACCTGCCCGACCTGACCGTCATCACGCCCGTGTTCTACCGGTGAGTACCTCTGTTATACCATACCTGCCCGACCTGACCGTCATCACGCCCGTGTTCTACCGGTGAGTACCTCTGTTATACCATACCTGCCCGATCTGACCGTCATCACGCCCGTGTTCTACCGGTGAGTGGCGTACCACTGTTATACCATACCTGCCCGATCTGACCGTCATCACGCCCGTGTTCTACCGGTGAGTGGCGTACCACTGTTATACCATACCTGCCCGACCTGACCGTCATCACGCCCGTGTTCTACCGGTGAGTGGCGTACCACTGTTATACCATACCTGCCCGACCTGACCGTCATCACGCCCGTGTTCTACCGGTGAGTACCTCTGTTATACCATACCTGCCCGACCTGACCGTCATCACGCCCGTGTTCTACCGGTGAGTACCTCTGTTATACCATACCTGCCCGACCTGACCGTCATCACGCCCGTGTTCTACCGGTGAGTACCTCTGTTATACCATATCTGCCCGACCTGACCGTCATCACGCCCGTGTTCTACCGGTGAGTGGCGTACCACTGTTATACCATACCTGCCCGACCTGACCGTCATCACGCCCGTGTTCTACCGGTGAGTACCATACCACTGTTATACCATACCTGCCCGATCTGACCGTCATCACGCCCGTGTTCTACCGGTGAGTGGCGTACCACTGTTATACCATACCTGCCCGATCTGACCGTCATCACGCCCGTGTTCTACCGGTGAGTGGCGTACCTCTGTTATACCATACCTGCCCGACCTGACCGTCATCACGCCCGTGTTCTACCGGTGAGTACCTCTGTTATACCATACCTGCCCGACCTGACCGTCATCACGCCCGTGTTCTACCGGTGAGTATGAGTGGTATCTCTCACATAGATATAATGTTCTAGGAGTCGATAACCCTGAGCCTAATCGTGCCTACCTGTCAAAGATGTCGACACGTGTCAAAGATTATCCATCGTGTGTTATCCATGACAGATATATATAAAAAACGACAATGTATTCAAATACACAATTAAAAAACAGAGCTACAGTGATCAAGGTATTTGTTACCGAAAGCTCTGTTTTTTAATTGTGTATTTGAATACATTGTCGTTTTTTATTATCCATCGTCTTTGACGCATGTTCCTGCGCATGATTTGACCTTCCTTCTAGCCTTGGCTCCACGTCCTTTCCATTTGGTTGTTACTAGGCTTGACGGTCCCACCCTAGCTCTCTTTGATTTCGAGACTGCGATGGTGGCATAGGGGCTAGGCCGTGTAATAAATCTTGATCTTATATAGTTAGGGACCTTTACCGTACCCCCCCCCCCCTCCCGCCATTCTCCGGCAGCGGCTCGGCGTCTCCGGTGTTTTTCGTGGCGTCGCGCGGCCACCACGCTGACATTGGCGGCATCACTCCGGGCTCCATGCCGCCGCACTCGACTTCACTCCTCCAGGAGGGCGCCTGCTTCAAGTCGTTCAAGCTCGTCTCGGAGGGCGTCTTTCAGGAGCAGGAGCTGACAGAGGCGCTGATGGCTCCTGGGAAGATCCCGGGCAGCTCGGGAACCAGGAACCTGAGAGATAACCTGAGTGACCTGCGCGCCCAGGTGGCAGCAAACCAAAAGGTAGTGCTCGAGTGGGGCTTGGGTTGTAAGGGGGAGATATTGACGAAAAGTGAGGCTAGGAGACGTCAGCGAGGGATGGACTAGCAAAGTGGTTTGGACACGAGAGATGCCTGGCGTCATTTGCTGCTCATCTAGAGAATAGCAACAACGAAAGAGATATCTAGTGAGAACACACAAGAGGTATTAAAATATTCGTTTGCAATAGTAAAACCTGTTTTGATTGCTTATCAATCCTCGTTATTTACTTGTATCATGCATCCGACCTTCATCACTTCTCTTTCTCCCTCTCTCCACAGGGTATCAGTCTGGTCGGTGAGACCAGTACTCCCTCCCTCTCTCTCTCTGACCTCCCTCCCTCTCCCCACAGGGTATCAGTCTGGTCGGCGAGCTGATAGACCAGTACTCGCTCCCGGTGGTCCAGGCGTACATGGCACACATTCAGCACGCGGCGGAGCTGGCCGTGCGGGGGATGCTGCGACAGATCGGGTCCGAGGCGCGCCGCCGGTCCGGCGCCGCCCGGCTACTCTGGGAGGACAGGATGGACGGAGGGAGTGTCATACGACTGGAGGTGCACATTGACGAACAGGAGGGGTCGGCTGTGTTCGACTTCAGGTCAGTAGAACCGGGCGGCGTGTCGGGGTAAGGGGTGGGGGGGGGGGGGAGGAGGGTCCGAGAGATACTAGGTTAAAGGTCTTCGTTGAACAGTGCACTAGGAAGTTTTGCCTGTTTTTGGCTCTTGAGTGCGTGATTACTTCACTTCTCATCGTTGTATTGAGTAGCTTATGTATTTAGCACGTCGATCGCCAGGAGTGTGCGCCGATGACCTCTGAAGTCCGGCCGCCCTAAAACCACACACAAATCACACACGTCAGGAGTCCAGTCACATAGATGCACCCGTTGGATCCATTTTCCACGCGGACACTGGCGGCAACGCGTGAGTTCTGTCCCCCCAGTGCCGCTTATGATGTGTCGGTTTTGTCTCTCCAAAATCACTAACACGCCGTGTTTTATCTCCCCAGCGGCACGGGTTACGAGGTGTACGGCAACTGTAACGCTCCGCGGGCCATCACCCTCTCTGCCGTCATCTACTGTTTGCGCTGTATGGTCGGACACGACGTGCCGCTCAACCAGGTACGTGGGTAGCGAGCAATGAGGTAGGGAGGGCTTTGTACTAAATTACAACGGCAATGCCCTGCAGCGCTGACGGGAGAAACCTGGGCCCTGTTTCACGGCTCGACGCTGCGCTGCGCTGCTGTATTGGTACGGCGTTTGAGACGAATTCGTCTCCACGCTGCTTCGTTGCGAGCGTCTGAGTTTGTTGATGTTCCCATGGAAACCCAATACACCGCTGCGCGTAGCGAGCTACCGTGAAATAGCCCTGTGCGGACAAGGAGGCGGACTACTGTTGGAAATAAAAAGGCTGGAACATCTCTGATAGCTATTGGTTCTTCAATCATCAAGGCTCACACCTAAAATTCTCCCTCGTATATAGTTTGATTTGGTAAAGCTATGGCGCTGGTATGTCTTAACAAATCTAACCACCCCACCTCTCATTACCCCCTCGTCCCCCCCCCCCTCCACCGCAGGGCTGTCTGGCGCCGATCCGTATCCGGATCCCGCCTGGATCCCTGCTGGACCCCTCGGATACCGCCGCTGTGGTGGGCGGTAACGTCCTCACCTCCCAGCGGGTCGTGGACGTGGTTCTGGGCGCGTTCGGAGCCTGTGCCGCCAGCCAGGGGTGTATGAACAACGTGACGTTTGGCGACGGAGAGTTCGGGTACTACGAGACGGTGGCCGGCGGCGCCGGAGCGGTGAGTGGGAGGGAAATGGGAGAGATGGCCGCAAAAGGGGAAGGGGGAGGGAAAGATTCATGGAGATGAGAAATCGTCAGATTATATTTTCAAGAGTTTGATCAGTTTGTCACGCTGGAGCTTAACTACATATGTGACTATGATTGAATCTGTTTTTATTGCTCTCAAGAAGAAGTACCGATGACGTATTAGGTATGAGGCACAGGCGGATCCATAATTATGGTAGGTGCTATTGTTTTTGTTTTTATGACAAAAGGGACGGCTGTTTTGTAAAAGCATCGCCTTTCCTGCAGGATTGTATCCGTTGTAAATTTCACCACTTCCGCAATATTATAATGCGCGCGACATAACGGATCCTACGCACCCCTCCCACCGACTGACGGTTGTGTCACGTGTGACGTGACATTTGTCACAGGGTCCCACGTGGCACGGCCGCAGTGGTGTGCACAGTCACATGACCAACACGCGCATCACGGACCCGGAGATTATCGAGGCGCGCTACCCGGTGGTGGTGCAAAAGTTCTCCCTGAACCCCGGCACGGGCGGCAGCGGACGGCACAGGTGGGCATGGAAATATGTGAACAGAGGAGGGGGGAGGGGTGGATGGTGCCTGGAGAGGATTGTCGAGGAACTTTAGAAACATCGCCAGACTTTGTTTGTTTGTTTGTTTGTTTGTTTGTCTGTTTGTTTGTTTGTTTGTTTTTTGTCTATGAAGTTCGATGTCGCTTGTATCGCCGGTGGCAAGTCAGTTTGCAATATTGATCATTACCTTTGTTTATTGTTTTTCATCCATAACCATTCAAGATATATCATGGTCGTACCACGTTATTCGTTACCATGCTATTCGTTACCATGCTATTTTGACAGCCTTGCGACGTTAACTATAACTGAACCATAAGCTACGACCGCTGCCCATATTCTGATACCCCTGACCTCCCTTTGACCCCTACCCTCCCTCTGCCCTCACAGGGGCGGTGACGGCGTCGTTCGGGAGCTGCTCTTCCGAAAGCCGCTGACACTGTCCATACTGACGGAGCGACGGGTCTTCCAGCCGTACGGCCTCAAAGGTACGTGTCAGTCATTCCCTCATGTTCTTTTTGCTTTTTTTCGTGCTCTCTGCTCACTCTCCGTTTCTGTCTATCTTTCCCGTGATATCGTTTTTTTTAGCCCTGTCCCTTCCTTTTCGTCGTCGTTGATCGTGGTACCACCTCACCGTACCGTATCATTTGCCACGGCTGCCCTGCTCTACCTGGCTTGCAGGCGGTCGAAGCGGCCAAAACTATATATCTAGTAAAACTAGTACTACCTATCACTACGAGTGTTGTGCTATCACTACTGCACTATCGCCGCTGTACCATCATTGCCCCTCCTGCCCCAGGCGGCGGTCCCGGTCGCAGAGGACAGAATCTGCTACTCCACGCGGACGGCCGGACGGTGGACCTCGGTTATACCATCACTGTTATATTCTCACTGCCCCTGCTGCCCACAGGGGGCGGTCCTGGTCGCAGAGGACAGAATCTGCTACTCCACGCGGACGGCCGGACGGTGGACCTCGGTTATACCATCACTGTTATATTATCACTGCCCCTACTGCCCACAGGCGGTGGTGCTGGTCGCAGAGGACAGAACCTGCTGCTCCACGCGGACGGCCGGACGGTGGACCTCGGCGCCAAAACCTCCGTGGATGTCCAGACGGGGGTGAGTGTTATGCCTGAAACAGACTCTTTCTGCAGTCAGGAAATCGCATGCGAGAGCCTATTCAAATACATGGAAGCACGGTCGCATCAATCGCACGCACCTCCCGGATGCGATGGATGCGGGAAAATTATAATGCATTCGAATAGGCTTTCGCATGCGATTTCCTGAACGCGGAAAGAGTCTGTTTCAGCCTTTACCCAGAGAAGATGAGTTCAGTCTGAGTTCATAGCTTGTCTCTGACCGGGTCAGCCTGGGTACTTCCTTTCCAGTAGTGATAAGAGATGTTAGGATAGATCCAATTGTTTGATTTTGAATTTGTTTTCCTTTGCCACGCCTTGGCTTGCACCTGACGTGCTTTCCATAAGGCTGTATATTGATAGAGACACTGTAGAAAAACACGAAACAAATAGTGCATGGACGCGTTTCGATTATTAAATCATCGAAGATTTAATAATCGAAACGCGTCCATGCACTATTTGTTCCGTGTTTTTCTATTTCCATAAGGCTGCTGACTTGAGTGGGACCTCTTTGGGCTCCCCTTCCTTCATTTTCTGAATTTATTCGTCTACTTTTTCATTGCAAACGGTTTCAAAGAATCAGCAGTAAAAACACAGGTGTCGAACAACAGACAAGTTCGTTTGCTTTGAGATCACCGATGGCGTCACGGGTGAGGTAAAAGCTAAAATTGCTCTCGTTTTGGGCTCGTGTCTACCCCCATTGCCAGCCCCTACCCACTGCCTGTCCTGTGCCAGCCTGCTCTACCCTCAGCCTGCCCTACCCTCAGCCTGCCCTACCCCCAGCTTGCTCTACCCTCAGCCTGCCCTACCCTCAGCCTGGTGTCCTACCCCAGCCTGCCCTACCCTCAGCCTGGTGTCCTAGACCTCAGCCTGCCCTACCCTCAGCCTGGTGTCCTACCTCAGCCTGCCCTACCCTCAGCCTGGTGTCCTACCCCAGCCTGCCCTACCCTCAGCCTGGTGTCCTAGACCTCAGCCTGCCCTACCCTCAGCCTGGTGTCCTACCCCAGCCTGCCCTAGCCCCAGTCTCATCTCACCATCGGTTATACTGCGAATCCCATCCCGACTGGCGTACTGTTTATAGCACAGTCGGCCGGCTATGGAATGTTTCGCCCGCCGTTCCTCGCAGAGATGTGCCGCTTACGTAAGGCGTCTGCCCGGCCTGACAGCGGCGCCCGCGGCCTGAGCGCGATCTCAGGCGGTGTGGGCAGGGCAGTGGTGGCTGTGGTGACGTGTTGAAGGCCAGTTTATCATTAGAGAGAGTTTTTAAGTCGGCAAGAATTACCAAGGAATGATACGGAGTGGATGCTATTTTCTGGAGTTGGATGTGGGTTATTTTGATGGATGTTTTTGTACTCTCTGGCCTTAGTCCTTAGACAACTATAAAGCTGGAACCATGGTCAGTTTGCAGTCTCCGTTGGTGGATGACACCAGCCGGTTTTGATGATGATAACAACAACAACAACAACCATTTATTTAGAGACAAAGTTGTCGACAGTGGTGTTATGGGGAGATGGCACAAAGGCCCACAGCCTATCACTAGGCACCATCCCCCACCCGGTTTGGTCATGTTAGCTTAGTCCTGGCCATTATATCGAGCAGCGACTGAAAGTTATACCGAGCTCCAACCAAGAAAAATCAAACAAGTAAACAAGAAATGAAATGAATACATTAGAACCGTTCAGCACATTTATGAATTATTAGAACCGTTTCGTGTCCAATAGGTATTTTTGGAAAAGGAACGCTACCCTCCGGGAGCAGTTCAATGTGTTAGTGTTAGTGCCGTATATGAGTGTATCGTGTTGTTCAGTAGATGTGAGGTTTGGTCGGTTAGCCAGCCGGTTTATTTGTTACCAAACCTGAGCCGATAGCGGTGTGATAAAAAGCAGGTTTGTTTTTCCCTGGCGTGTTCGGGCGTTGTCTTTTTTTCAGCAAGCCGCCAGGTTGCTGGCGTTTTTCGGTTTCTCGTTTGTCGCATTCACTTGTTCTGTGCGGCTCACCAATGAGAGGCCAAGGAACGCCAGCAATGGACTTTCAAGTTTTATAACTGAGAAGACTGAACAGCGTTCTGTTTTTTTCTGTTACCTTTACCCGATAACGGATTAGGGATAACGAGGTCTGTTCTTATCCGGGAGGTGTTCTTTGCTACGGCTGAGAATGTCGTTATATGTTCTGCATAATACAGCGTCGCCCTGAGCTGCAGTAATATCGCATGTGCCCTTGTGCTGCTGCTTTTTTCCTATGCTGCATGTTTTGCCCCCCCCCCCCCCCTCCGTATTTTCTGGCGTATCTTCTTCAACCCCAGCCGGTTCAGCCGGCACACGGTCGGCCGACGCCCCGTACCCGGCTCAGTAAACATCCCGGAGTGATACCGAGTCCGTACCCTGCAGCCCCCCCCCCCCCTTTCGCCGGGGCTTTGTTCGAGGCGCCAGTGATCGGCCGGGGTCAAGGGTCAGTCCGTCACCGGTCAAAGGTCATCGGCAGGGTCCTGCGCGGGGTGCGGCGCGGTGGTTTACGGAGGCTTTACGGGAGTCTGATGGGAGCTTTGTGGGAGAAGGAGCTCTCTTATGGAACGATGACCTTTTGATGTTTTACAGACCGGTGTTCAACATTGCCCATTAGCATTTATGAGTCTTAAAACACATTGCTCTCTGTCACTCTTTGTATATCCGTCTGTTGATTGTCTTGTTTTTTTCTTCCTTTTTTCATCTTTCTTTCCTTCGTTCTTTCTTTCTTTTTTTTTCTTTCCTTCTTTCTTTCTTTTCTCCCTCTCCCTCCCTCCCTCCTCCCCTCTAACCACCCGTCTCTCTCCCAGGACACGTTCCGTCTGTTGACTCCCGGTGGTGGCGGTTTCGGCTCTCCTGACGACCCTAAGGAGGCGGGTGAGGAGCAGGAGCCGGCCCAGGAGAGACTCCAGACGTTCCTGGAGCGCGGCAGCCTGCACGACTACCAGCTGGCTCAGGAGTCTGTCTAGAGGTACAGGAGTCTGTATAGGGCGCCCTAAGTCCGTATAGAGGGGCTGGGGTCCGTGTTAGGAGTCCGTGTAGGGCGGCTTGAGTGAGTCCTGAGTCATAAGGAAGGCGTCCAGGGGTGGTATGCTTCCTTGTAGACATGTGCTGGGAGTTAATTTATGCCAGTAGTCAGCATATGACGATTTCCAAGTAAAAACTTTAAATACAAGCCGTTGGATGTAGGACTCAAACTGCCACTTGCTGAAATCTGAAACGACGAATCGAAAATGCGTAGCACGTCGGCTGTTCACATTGTATTGCAACATGCACGACATTATTTACCTCTTTATATCGAACTCGGTATATAAACCTATAACGAACTATGGGTGTAGCTGATGTTTCGGGAATGTGTTTAAGGACTTTAGTCAGGTCATGTCTAGGCTTTCTCTGCATAGTTAGTAGTTTCTGTGGGGGAAGACGAGGACATTGTCCTATGTAATAGAGTCATAAGACCGCCATTGATACCTGAGTGCCTTCATGTAAGCTGTGCTCAGATCTGATCTACCTTCCATGTGCGCGTTTGTGTTTTACAGGGCTTTGCAAACATGTTTGCTATAATTGGCACTTGTCACTTGCCAGCACTCTAGTAATCTTGACCCTCGCATGTGTAGGGGGGGGGGGGCGGTCGGATGGACCCCCCCCCATGGTTTTTCGCGAATAACTCGCGTAAAAAGCGGCCGATCGCGACGAAACTTTCAGTACCCTCGCATTGATCAATTTTACACCTACCCTGAAAATTTCATGACCCTGACCCAAATGACCTTTGACCTGTGACCTCTTTTCCGAGACCATGTTTGGCCGGAATCGCGATTTCGCGTATGTCGGCTCGCACTAGCCGCGTGTTTGCAAGCTTTTCGTGGTTTCAAACGTTCAAACATGTGATTTGATGTTACTCCCGTGTGTGTCAAGGTCACCTGAAGGTCAGGTCAGGTCATTGACCTTTGGTGACCTCGGGTGACCTCGGGTCACTTTTTCGAGTTTTGCATGTTTCTAGGCTAGTTTTTGGAGCTGAATTCGAATTTAGCAACCATTTGAACATTTACGAAGTAGTTTTGGTGACTTCGTAACATGTTACGAAGCTGTCAGAGGCGGTTGACACGTACTACGAATACCCGTCACGACGCCTACTGGTTGACCTGACCTGACCTGACCCGACCTGGTCTAAATGCTTCCAGACATCATCTGTGATCAAAACTAACACGATATTCGTGATCAGCACCCCGAAAAACCCCTTAGCAGCCACACTTTACGACTTTCTAACAGGTCCCGATTTTCCCGACTTTGGGTCATTGACCTGACCTGGAAGGTCAACCAATGACCTAGGACCTTAAAATTGGGTATCATCGGCTTCCTCTCGTCACGGGCAACACGCTCGTTTTTTTCCGCGAAGCTCTAGCTCGATCAGGGGCCAAACGGCAAGGGGGGGGTCCAACCGACCCCCCCCCCCCCCTACACATTAGAAGCTGGCAAACGCCGCACACATGCGAGGGTTGAATGATTAGGTTAGGGGTTTAAATCACTATAGTCCATTTTTTTCAAAAGGCTCATGGCCCGAAGTATTATTTTGGAGTTGGCACGTGCGAGACGCTAGAAAATAACGCAAGCTGAGATGAATTTCTCGGCCATTTTTGAAAGATAAGCACAGTCGCACAGTGCAACGGAGCAAGTTGTTCAATTTAGCTTTTAAATCGTGTCACGTTGCAGAATGTGAGTAAATTCATAGATTTGAGCCATTCTGTTGATTTTGCATGCAAATTTAACGTCACTCCTGTATTAACCTTGATTCCACAGCCAGCCCATCACTTGAGAAATAGCAAGCGGCAACTATTTAAACATTCAAGACAGAATCTGTCGGGGGCCGGAATTCTGAGCGGCAAGCTCATGGAAAACATGTCATTATTTGCTGAAGCTGGTGACGTTTCGTATTGTTGTCTTACATTGTGTTCTCGCATGCTACCTACAAACTTCAGTCGTCTTTTTACAAGTCTTTCCAGATTTAGTTTGCGCATAGCCGACTTCTTCCCAGTGCAGAAATCGATCGATCAGCATTGTAATAGATCGGCAGATATGCTGGCTCATGTTTCTTTTTGTACTCAACAGAAATAAATCTAAAGCAAAATGTCAATCCGTGTGTTACTTTTGTAGGTCTGCAAACAGGTCATCCACGTCATCAGTTTAATCATTTGTTTAGTGCCTATGGCTAGACCCCGTAAGGAAGCATTTTCGATTCACAGTTCCTCATTATTAGTCGAATCAATGTCTATACTTTTTTCCAAACTATCGCAAGTCAGATACCAGCCGACCGAGCCGGCCAGGTGATTTCGAAATGTGACAAGCCGGTGTTCGTTGATTTCTGTAAAAACCATCACTTTGCACGTGACAATTCTAAAATCGATTTTCGGGCCGTGAGCCTTTTGAAAAAAAATGGACTATAACTGTAGATTGTATACGTATGCGGTATAGCAGAATGTTTACTGAGTTATGTATGGCGGATGTCGTTTAAAGGTGGGTTGTTATGTGCTTACTGCTTATGTACGTTTTTGTGACAAACTATGTAGTATTTGTCTACATGATTAGCGAAGATATATCGGAGAAGCAGTGGTCTTAGTTCCCCACCATCGAACTACACCTTTTTAGGCGCAATTTCAAAAAGTTGAAGACCAAATTCAAAAAGTTTACATTCAAAATGCACGTGAACGTTTTGAATTTGGTCTTTAACTTTTTGAACTTGCGCCTAAAATGCTGTAGTAATTGATTGTGGATCTGTTGGATTTTGCATTTTATTTCATGTCAAGTATTTTTTCTCACAATCTTATTTTCATTTGGATCACAGCGAAAAGGTCATTTTGCGTGTGTTGTGGTCCGTAGCGTGCAATCACCTTTGATACGTGTGCAGTGCAATGTTAACAAATCGTGCCATGGCCCAGCCAGTTTTGATACAACCGTGTGCAATAATGCGTGCCGTATATCCGCCAGTATTTCCCTGTGCCAGTGTTGAGCTATGCCCGCTGCTGCCTTGCGAGTACGGTCGATCCCACGCGGTATTGATTTTGACGCTGTTTGTCGCGTTTTCCGTGTTATCAACGGCACACAGCAGCGTTTTTAATCGTACCGTGTGGTGCGTCCTCGTGCGGCCAGTCTGCTAAAAGTGGTTACTGTTTGGCCAAGATCTCGACCAGTCACGGCATTGTTACTGCGTGATAGTACGATAATATATTTTAACATTGAAACGCTGTCTTTCTCCGCGGGTAACTTTGAATTTATCGCAGCCAAGGCTGGCTAGACTTGTAATGAACGGAACGCGTGTTCGGCAAGGAAGCACTAACCATGTTATGCTTTGTCACGCCAATTTTGGGTGCGTTGCGCAGCTGAATGCTTCTAAGAATCAGGGACATTACCAGAGCTTTTCCACTGCTTACCTTGCTGCCCTGCTTTAGCAATCAATCACTTTTGACCGGTTGATTTACTGTCGTGCCTTTCTGTCATATGTTGTTCGATTCACTCTCTCGGGTTTACATTGTTTTTGGGTAGGTACAGTGTCCCGTCACCACCTGTTATAAGGCCGAGTGAGTACAAAACACCCGGTAGGTATGTGCACCCGGGCCGGCCGGCATTACACCTGTCAGACTTTTTCACCCGCTGTTAGCAGCAGATGTTCGTCGTGGACACGTGTCAACGAATGACAGAAAAAGACTGACGAGCTTCAATTGCAACTCGGACCTTGGTCACTACAAAGGATGTGGCGCTTGATCTACAAAAATGTGTTGGTGACACAGATCCTACACTTATACACGATCCTTTTTGTTGCAACTGATTACGGCAACGTGATCATCTCTCGAATAGGTCGCCAGTACGTACCCGACAAACGGCAGGTATTTGTGGAAAACGAGTCATCATGTATTGTTCACGATACTTCTCGAATACAAAAAAAGTACAAAGATCTACTGCGTCTCACGTATCACTATCAAATATCAACCATCGCCAGCCATCCGACTGACTGAGATATTGGCTGTTGCCATGCCGGTCGCCTTCCATAACGACTTTCGCCAGCAGCTCCTAACCACGGTCACAGTTGAACACATTCACGTTTTCCTACCACCCAGTCAGGTCGGTTAACCGAAACACTCGTTCATTACAACTGCCCGCTTGGAACCGTGTTAAAAGTGTAGGCGAGGAATCTCACAAAACACATGTAAAACACGGTCCCGTACGGCCCACCGGTCTCCCCCCCCCCCCCCCCCCGCCAGCCCCTGACACCTCGACTGCGCCGGCCGCCGTCAGCTGGCGGAGACCACCGGGTTATGGGCGGCTGGTGGACGACAACCACTCGTCGGCGAAAATCGGGACGCCGTTCCGTCCGGCGCGGTGGTGGGTGACCCGGGCGCCCGGAGACTGGGAACCCGTTTCCAGCTGAGATAGCGGACTCCATCCAGCTGGGCCCAACCCGGCTCCGCTGGGTGCGCGTTACGTCACCGAACCCGGGGCCATGGGCATTGGGCGCCTGCCGAGTGCCGAGCGAACGGGCGATAAAAACCGGCTCCAACGCCCGGCGGGTCGTCGACTTGTGGCGAGCTCGCGGGTTCATGGTGAAACCACGTGGACAGGCCAATCAGATCGCGAATACAAAACAGTGAGGGCCTAACAAACGGAACACGGGCGTCTATGATGTGTCGGCATGACTTGAATATTAGATTCTCCCTGATGAATTTTCCTGGTGCGAACAGCCCTGCGCCCGTACCTGCATCATGATTACATAGCGCTTATGAAGACATGATTCGCTGAGTTGCAGCTCCTCGCGTCCGTCTTCATAATCCGCCGTGGCCGCTGGCTCGGCTCGGCTCGGGAGTTGGAGTGTCGTTAGGTGCGCTCCGTGACTTTCTCGCCGGCGGCCGATCAGGCGGCGTCAGTCTCGGCCTGTTTGTCCCGGCGCCCCGCGGAGCGTCGGGCGATGCAGGGATGGAGCAGCACCAGCGCGCCGCCGGCCAGCATGCAGCCCGACAGCACGGCGAACACGGTGCGAAACGTGCCGGCCGCGTCTCGCAGCAGGCCGCCCAGCGGCTGCGCCGTCAGGTTGGCCACGCCCGCGAACAGGTTCGACATGGTCAGCGTCGACGAGAGACGCTCCACGCCGTAGTACTCGGCGTACATGACGGGTGTCACCACAAAGTAGAAACCAATGGCGGCGTACACGATGGAGCACGCGACAAACAGCTCGGCGTACGAGCGGACGAACACGAGCGCCAGCACGCCCGTGCCACCCACCAGGCACGTGATGAACAGGCCGTAGCGCTTGTGGAACAGGTTGCGGTCCAGCAGAAAGCCCAGCGAGAGACGGCTGACGATGTCGATCGGAGCGATCATGGCAATCATTCGAGCTATGTCAGCTTGACTGACATCGATCTCCTGACCGAAGCGCGGAATTAGCAGACACACGTGCGGAAGGCCGGTCATGAAGAGAAACACGCTCGTCACACAGGCGATGTACAGCGGATCGGTAAGCAGATGGAGGTCCAGGGACCGCAGCACCTGCTGCATACAGCCTGAGGACTTGGGCGCCTCGGGGGCCTCCACGGCCAGGTTCAGCTGGCTCAGCATCGAAGTGGATGTGGCGAGGGAGGCGTCGGGGTGCCGATGCCGCAGGGGTGGGTGCAGCAGGCCGTCCTCCATCTCCGAGTGGGCCTCCGAGTGGCGCCTTTCAGCATGCTGTACCTCCAGCAGTTTGGCAGCAGCCGGCGCGGTTTCCAACTTCTCCAGCTCCTTGTCGTCGCCGGCCGCGGTGCTGACCTTGCGACACCGTCTCAGCTGCCGCCGTCTCTCCATGCGCATTATCTCCCGCTGTGTTTCCATCGGCCTGTACAGCATCGCCGAGATGATGGTGTGCATGTGGATGCCGCCGAGCATCAGGTAGGTGCCGGGGATGCCGTACTCCTCCAGCATCCCCTGCACCATCAGCGGGAAGAACACGCCGCCGATCGCGGCAGACGCGGCCGTGATCGAGTTGGCCAGGCCGCGGCGCTTCACAAAGTATTTGCTCACCATCAGTGTGCCGGGGATGTTGGCGAACCCCTGCCCGACGCCGAACATCATGCCGTTGGTGACGTACAGCATGTAGATGTTGCCGGTGAGGCCGCTGAGCGCCAGACCGAGGAGCGAGCCCACACCGCCCATGATGCACACGGTGCGCTCGCTCATACGTCTGCACAGCGCGCCGCATAGCGGGGACGCCAAGAAGTTGAAGGAGAAGTAGAGGGCCGGGATGACCGCCACTTCTGCCGAGGAGAAACCGTACTCGTGCACCAGCGCGGCCAGCACGAGGCCGAAGGACTTGTGGATGCCGCCGACCAGAACGAACTGCAGCGCGGCGCCAGCGGCCACCACCCAGCTGTAGTAGGAGTCCTGCACCTGAATTTCGTCATCATCATCGTCCAGCTTACTCTTCGACTGCGACACCGAGAGACGCTCCTCGTCGGCGGGGTCTGCAGACGCGACGGCGATCCGGGGGATGTGGAGCTCATGCGACAGCCCGGAGGCGCGCGAGCCTCTCTCGTCGAACGAGGACGCTACGGATGCCTTCCGTGGCGTCCTGGGGTGCGAGGCGTCGCTGGCGGTCCTCGAGCGGTGGCCGTTCGGCAACAGGTGCGGCTCGCTGGGCGCCCTGGCAACAGACTCGTCGCTGGGAGTTTTGATGACCGGGATGTCTCCGTGAGAGCTGCGCCGAGAGTTGATGGGGACGGCGAGGGAGCCAGATCCGGCGACCTCGACTAGAGAGACGTCCTCGCCTAGTTGTGGCATCTTGAGGGGTGGAAGCTTCAGCGGACTGGTTCAGCTTCCATTCGTCGAATGATAAAGCCGCTGTATGTGGAGCTTTCGAAAGAAACAACGCACTTGGCCTTTCCACTTGTCACTTGAACCTTCCACTGAGGAATATTACCGGTGCGACAATGTTAAGTTCTGTCCTCACAGAATGCGTAACAGCGTCCTTCACCTCTCTCGTCTCACTGCGACGTATCACTATCGGCAGGGATGGCCGTCTTCCAACTCGGAGCAGATGCCAGCTGTCGAGTGGCGCTGTCCCATGCGAACGTCACTTTAGTGCTGACGTAATTACCGATCTCAAACGTAATGTCCCAGCGTCGCATTCACAGCCTGGCGTCACTCAGTTCAGCACCGCACTGATCCGTTGTTCACCGCCTGTAGCACGTTTCACCTCCCATCACCACGCCGCGTCGCCTCCCGTCGCTGTCCACACGGCGCCCCTCCCTCGGACGCTGCCGGCCGGCCTCTGAGAGCTCTCTGAGCCTGCGCCGTCGGCCGTCCACGCCAGCTGCGCGCGCCATAACTGCCGTGACGTCACGTTACCAAGGCTAGCGACGACCCCAGCGACACCTCCCCCCCCAGCGGACCCGACAACAGAGGGGGGGAGCTTGGCTCCCAATAGAGCTGCCCACCGACCGCCAGGTCTCAGGGTCATGGCCGTCATGGCCTCGATCAAAAGGTTCACAACTCCGAGTTCAATCAGACGCGTCCAAAAAGGAAACTCACTATGTTTGTGAAGCGTTCAGCTGTGTTTCGGATTATCGCCGCCTGCTCGGTCTAATCCATGGCGCTGCATGTGGTGGAATCATGTATGCGGAGATGTGAACTGAGGAAATGCGATTGGGTTGGATGGGTCTAAATCATAAACGTTACGTAAGGCGGATGGACATTATGTAACGTCTTGTGGAGAAGGAAATCATGGCCTCCCACTCCCGGATGGAGGCCCCAATACCATATCTCTTCTAACCTCTCTTTTTACCCGTCTGGTCTTCTGTCTGGGTGTCTGGGGCGCCCAGCAACACGGGACCGTCGGCTCTTGGCCGACGGCCACCCGGTCACGTGACGGCGTCCCGACACCCCATAAAAACCTATGTTTCTGTGAATACATCACTCACTTCTCCGCCACCGTCTTTGCCGGACGCAGTGCCGGACCCGTCTCCGAGGGCGGCCTTTCGCCGTCCAACATTGGTGGCAGCGGTGGTGGAGACTTTCGGTAAAAGGTGAGTCCTTAGTTTAAAATTATAATTGGCTTGTATTTGGTTGCTATTTGCTTGATATTTGAACCTTCGTTTTATTATTTACTTAGTTCGTGATATTTTTTTTTTCTCAACAATGCCTGTCATGGAAAGTGCTTCTGGATCTGGATCGGCAATTACTTTCAATATTCACTCTTTGGCATCATTAGTCAACAACTATGACGGAAGCTATCCCATTCAGGACTTTTTACAAGAAATTCGTGAAACTGCTCATCTAGGATCTTGGCCTGATAAAATCACTTTGAAAGTCACAAAATCCAAGCTACAAGGGTCGGTAGCCGAAATGGTGAGAAACCGACATGATTTAAACCATGCCGAAACTTTTGATGACTTTTCTACCCGTTTGATATCTGCCCTACACACTGATAGGCCTGTGTCAGTTCGACTGCAGGACCTAATGACCTGCGTACAACAACCTTCCGAAACAGTCGATGCATACGCAACTCGAATCCGACAAAAGTCTAAAGGCTTAACGGAATGGGACATTTCGACGGAAACAAAAGAATTGAAAAACAAAACAGTTACGGCGACATTCATCAAAGGTCTTCAACCCAAAATTCGTCAGCATGTGCTCCCATTCAACCCTCCGGATTTTGAAACAGCCATTACGCTTGCGCGATCGCAGGAGATCAGCGCCTCTTTGTCATCTGACCCCGTCAACAGCGCTGCATCAGCCGCAACTCAACCCGACCAAAATTTGGCAGACATCCATAAAAGAATTGCAAGTTTGGAACTGTCGGTAGCTCAAAATTCTTCACAAGGTCGTGGCGGTAGAAATCAATATAGAGGTCGTGGTAGAGGCCGTTACCCTTCTCGACAAAATTTTAGAAATCAACGGCCCTTCCAAAGGAGACATGAAAGCGACCCTCCATCATCAGACCGTCACTACCGAGACGCTTCTTGCCATGGCCATCATTCCTGCTGCGATCGGCAAAGCCGATCGTACTCTCGCTACCGAAACAGATCCCCAAGATATTCGCGATCCCCAAGACACTACGACCGTAGAAACTCCCGATCTCCGAATCATTCGCGCTCACCATCTCTCTCACCATCTAGGAGGTACCAGAGCCCAAAAGGGTACCGCTCACGACGCTAGGGGATACGTATGTGAGCGTTACTTCAGATCGTAAGGCCCGTGCAGCAAATCCCCCAGTTTTGCGAGACGTTTCGATATCAGATCACTCTTGTTCAGCCTTGTACGATACCGGCAGCAGCATCTGTTTGGTATCAGAAGAATTTTTGCGACAAAACAATTTGAAAGTAGATTACCAACCTCCAACTATTTCCATTCTTGGCGTTACTGGTGATCCAATTGACATAGTAGGTGAAGTTTATCTGAAAGTTAGCATTCTTGGTCAAACGGTGGAACATAAATTTTACATTTCAACAAAAGCTTTGTCATTCAACTGCGACATTATCCTTGGCATTGATTTCATCATTGCACACAAATTAATTTACAACCCTTCAACTCGTTCTGTGAGCTTGCTAAAACCAATTCTTTCTTCAAATGCAGTCAAAAAGCATTCAAAGCGCTTGAGCCCAAAAAGACGCAAACTAGTACGTTTTCTCCTGTCCACAAAGGACGACGAAAATTCCGGTGAAGAAGATGCTTATTCTGACGAGACGACGAAATTGTTCACAACTGCGGAAAAACATGCATTAGTTATTCAGGACGAAAAGTCATATCCATTGTTCGTGAAACAAACTGTTGAAATTCCTGGTTATAGTGAACAATTTGTACGCGTAAAATTACCACGTTTTCTAGAGCCAAATGATTTTCCATATCTCATCCAAGCGCATTGTGATCAAAGTATCCGAGACATTCAGGTTGCCCGTTCTATCATTTTCTTGGAAAAATCAGGCACGCTGGTACGTGTCATCAATTCGTCAAACAACCCAGTTATTTTGAGGAAAAATCTGCGGATCGCGCAAGCCCACCCAACCAATCTTTCCCCCACGGGTCAGGTCACAGACCGACCCCTCCCCTCCAGACAGCACGCTGACCTTACTCTGTCTGGTTCAGCAAGTGCCAACTGCCAAACAGTGCCGTCTGTTCCAACATCCGTCAGCGCCTCGTCGGAACAAAAAACGGTCGCTGGGCCGGACTTGGCTGCGTCAGACAAAAACAAACCGATGACCTCTGCTCAGAGGACGTCAGAATACAAGTCTGTCTCTGACATTGATTTGGAACATGTCCCGGAACCCTTTCGTTCTCAGCTCCGCGAGCTCATCAAAAAACATCGGCATGCTTTTGGAAACGACATCTCGGATGTAAAACAGACAGATGTTTATAAACACCACATCGAATTAACAGATCACACTCCGGCTTATCAAAGACCATATCGTCTCCCATTCGCCCATCGGGAGATAGTCAAGAAAGAAATAGATCGTATGTTGGCAGCCAAAATTATAGAACCATCAATTTCACCGTACAATTCTCCAATCATCCTTGTGAAGAAATCAAATGGTGGCTATCGCCTTGTATCAGATTTACGTCTTCTCAACTCAAAGATCAAAGATGACAAATTTCCTCATTCATTTGCATCTGATGTCATTGATCAACTTTCTGGATGTGAAGTTTTCTCAACTTTAGATTTACTCAGTTCCTTCCACCAAATTCCTTTGGATGAATCTTCTCGACATTATACTGCTTTTTCAGCTGGAGACGGCAAATATCATATGAATGTCGTACCAATGGGTCTTCGTTCAAGTTCTTCTGCTCTCAATAGAGCATTGCAAATTGCACTCAGTGGTCTTCAGGGTATAGATGCATTCTTATATGTAGACGATATTCTTATCGCTAGCAAAACATACGACGAACATTTAGAAAAACTCGCCCGTGTATTCTCACGATTAGAAGAAACTCGTTTTGTACTAAATCCCGCGAAATGTGAGTTCATGAAAACTCAGATAAAATATTTGGGTTTCATATTAGACAAACATGGAGTTCGTCCAGATATATCCAAATTACAAGCAGTTCAAGACTTTCCAACACCAAAAACTGTGAAAGATGTTCGTGCCTTTCTAGGCTTTGCAAATTATTATCGTAGGCATATTCCAAAAATGTCTGAACTTGCAGCTCCTTTAGTCCACTTGACAAAGAAAAATGTTGAATTTATTTGGTCTCAGGAATGCGAAGATGCATTCTCATCCATCAAAGAATCGTTAGTAAAGTATCCTGTGCTGAGATTCCCGAACTTTGAAAAAGATTTTTACTTATCTACAGATGCAAGTGACTTTGCCATTAGTGGCGTATTGGAACAAAAATATGGTGATCATTTTCACCCCATTGCTTTTATTAGTCGACAGCTCAACAAAGCTGAAAGAAATTATTCAACCACAGAAAAGGAGTGTCTTGCAATTACTTGGTCATTTGACAGTTTGCGATGCTATCTCTTAGGACACTTCACTCATATCATGACCGATCATTTACCATTGAAAGGTATTTTCAAGTCGACTAACCCTGGTGGTCGTCTAACCAGGTGGTCTTTAAAATTGACAGAGTACGATTTTGATGTCACTTATGTCCCAGGAAAGTTAAATGTCAAAGCAGATGTCTTGTCTCGTATCAAAATAGATTCACAAACCAAGACAGACTTTCTTGGTCATGTCGCGGCAAATGCCATAGAAAGTGAAGGCTGGACAAGAGAAAAGATCAAAGCAGAACAACGCAAAGACCCAGATCTGATACCGATCATCGACCGTCTCGTCAAACCGAAAGCTAAAGGCCCCGATCTGAAGCTACATGAACCTCTTTCAAATTTTTTCCTGAGTGCAGATGGTTTACTTTACCACGTAGCCACCCAAAACAACAAAACTCGTCCATTTATGGATCAGCTTGTAGTCCCATCCGCTATGAAAAAGCTGATTGTTCAAAGATTCCATGATACCATTTGGTCGGGACACCTCAAATTTGAAAAGACTCTTTCCAAAATTCGACTTCAATTTTATTGGAGACACATGTACACTGATATCAAAAAGTACGTAGAATCTTGTCGCTTATGCATGGAAAGAAGCGCTCATAAATCCATCAAACGTGCGCCATTGCAACGTACGATGACACCTGAGCACCCCATGCACATCTGTAGTTTTGATATCGTTGGCCCACTAAAAACAAGCTATCGTGGTAATTCATACTATCTCTCTTGGATAGAACATTTTTCAAGATGGCCTGAGGCAATTCCATTGACCGCTACTGATACTACTACAGTAGCCAAAGCATTCGTTG